GAAATTCCAAATATTTTGTTTATTTATTTCTAGTTTTAAACAGAGTTTACATTCTTTGTACAATTTTTTACTTCTGGACATAAAACATAACAATCTGTTTTTTCATATTATATTTTTTAAGAATGCGTCATCTAATTATACAAATATTAAAAAATTAACATACCAACAAATTTTATGTAGGACCTCTAGCCAACATCATTGTAAGCTACCCTGGAACTGCTATAAGTTTTTCAGGGAGGAGGCTCAAAAAACCATCTATAGTTTGATATACTTATATTTTTTAATAATAAGTAGCTACGATAAATAAAAAAAATGTTATCAGGTAAATTATTTACAAATAAATATGTATCAACTTAGTGCTTTAAAGTGCATCATGAATATTATTACACGATTTCTATTTAGAGTGATAACATTTATTACTTCAAATTGAGTACTTTTCGCAAATTGAATTGTTTTCATATAACCCATCAATTGTTAATTTTATCACAAACCTCTTCTTTTATCATTAGTAACTTACCTGTTGATAACCATTATTGCGATATATTCATAGAAGGTACCTAATAGAAAAGGTTGTTTCCGGTTTTGATAATTGTACTGTAATTATAATATAAAAGTATATTACTCACGTGTAATAAAATAACATTACATTTCTATGAGGTCGCAAACCACGTGCAACAAATTCATAAGCGCCGTCTACAAGAATTAGGAAATAACATATTTTTTTACTTTATTTTATTAAATAACATATGTCATAAAATATAATTATTATAGATTATTATTAAGAAGAGGGCTGTTTTTATAATTTTGAATCGATTGTCCAAAAATCAAGGCTAAATGACTGAGATGTATCAAAAATGATTGATCATAACTAGAGTGACCAGATTAAAATTCTATAAAAGCGGGACAAGTATTCAAAAAAAGTAGAGGAAGAGGAGTATCTCTCATCATACTTATAAGAGTGGTTAATTCCCCTTAATAATTGGTTTTGGATAAACATTTATTTCTTCATTCTAAAATTAGATAATACACAAAAAATCATAATCAAAATAGGATAAAAAAACAAAACTCAAATAAAATAATTATGAACATTTTTTATTGATATAATTGAAAATGTTATACATAGATATCTTGTAACCACTTGGATTTTATTTCTAAGACTGTGGTTACCTATAGTCGATTGAGAATCTAAATCTTAATATGATAAAAACTAATGTCTAGGTCTCTATGATAATATAATATAAATATCTATACTGTGATATTATATCACAGTATATATTATAAAAACTGTGCTTAATAATCTGATGAAACATAAAATATACACACCATAATTGAAAATAAGAATAAAATTACTATTATTTGGAATATGGACAAAAGCGGGACGTCGATTAAAAGTCGATACATTTTACTATCCCAATTGATCACCATATTTAGCGGAAAACATGCTTCAAAATCAAGACGTCTGGTCACACTAATCATAACCTCTATAATAGCTGTTATTTTAAAACCAATTAGCTAGAAAATTAATATGCATAGAAAATGTACCTTTTTTATATTCATTGTTTAAAAAATCTATTGAATATAGTAAAATGACTTCTACAAAAATATTCTGAACCTGTCTGCACGGATTCAAAAGCAACAAAAGGGAATAAGCGTCAAAAATAGACAAAAAAAAGTGTTATTTTTTTCTTAAATGACGACCACGCTATCAATTTTCAAAATATTAAGTTTAAATTAAACTTTTCTTGACACCAATAAAAATATCTAAAATGTAAAAAAAAAATTTTATAGGTTTAAGATTAATTAGATTAATTTCACTAATTAAAGCTATGGATATAAACAAACACAGAAAAAATATTGTTATTTAATATCATATGTGTAATAATATTACTATTTTTGTTTAATAAAGTTTAATTATAATGGTCTTATAAAATAGTAAAGTCTACACTTTTGTTTGTTATTTAGTAATTTAATTTTTTGGTTACAAATCCCACAAGATAAATTTTTGATTATCGAAAAATAAAAGTATACTTAAATTTTTTTATTTTATATATTTAAAAGTTATGATCGGTTTGATTTTTTTTTATATGCATAGTTCGACATCTTGTTTATATGAACGTTAATAAATTTCCAAGTTATTCGATGTTAATGAGCAGTTAAATATTCGATGACGAAGCTTTGTTTGGAGCATTTTAGTTTCTCAGAGTATCAATGGTAGCCCATTATTTAAATAAATATTTTATCTAATTTTGATTTAATATCTTTTTGTGATATACGTTAGTGGTTGTGAACACCAAATAATACTGTAAACCTCAGTAAATTAGGTGCTGTAGTTTTCGTACTGTTGTTATCATACTGGTCTAAGACGTCTGAGAGCACGTAATATTGATCAAATTTCACACGCTTTTAAATTCGTCACAGCAATGACTAGTCTTATTTTGGAAGTAATCAATAGAAGTTTTCAGTTATATTCACTATTCTGTCAAATTTAATACCTCATAATTAAAATCTTGATAATATACTTTTTATGGTTTGTCGTTCGGTGTAAATTTCACTCAAGGTTCAATCTCTGGTATATAATTTGGCATAGATGTTTCAACTTCTGCCAATATGAGAGACAGCTCATGTGTTTTTTGTTCTGCAACCTTCAGTAATGTTTCGATCAAGTTTACTTCGTAATATTTGCAGAAATCGTCATAACTAAATTAATTTCTGGTCTCAAACTCAATTAAATCTTTTAATGACTCTTTTTTTCACAGATATTGATGACTGATTCTTTCAGTTTCATCGACATATTTGAATTTATTGCTAATGTTATTTTTTTATTTGAAAAGCTCAAGATAATCTCTTTTTAGTTGAAGTGAAAATGTAACACACATAATGCTGAGATAACAATTTTCAGTTATTTTTACTTGGTACCAATAAATTGAAAAAACAATGTAAAAAATTATTGTTATTGCATTAAGTAAAAAACTGACGTTATATTTTTATTAAATAAAAACAACTCTTAATAATATTATCTTTTATTTTTAGAAATAAATACTACAAATTCAAAATGAAATAATATAACATAGTGCTTTTAACAGAACTTTGTCTGAATTTTTCAATTTCGTTGTATTTTTACGCTATTTTTCATTTGTCAGTTATAAAGTATTGCAATTCATGAATTTTTGTCGAAATTTTCGACCCTCATTTATTTATATCAGTCTTAAACTAATGGTTACAGTAAAATAACCTAATAGAGAATATTTTTTTAAATAGCTCAGAACGTTAATCGAGCGTATTAGTGTCTCCTGATCAATATTCAAGTATGAACATAATTGGTTATTGTACTGAACTTTCAATCATTAAATGTGCACATTTCAATAAAATCATAAACCATAGTTAAGTTATGAAAATTAATCGAAATAAGTGTCAATAATTCTTTAATAAAATAAATTATATAATAAGAATTGATTTCTTGTGGCTAATATTTTAAACTAAAAGTGTATATAAAATATTAATTTAAGTCTAAAAAATATTCAACTCGGTACATGAATTAAATGTTTTATGCATAAAAATCGTATTATTTTGAGCTAGAAGTACATATGTATTTTAATTGAAGGTTCCAGTGCAATAACACAAAAACTAAATAATTTTAGTACTTAACTCTGATCATTAAGTATTCCTATTCTTACAATATTAATTTATTGTGTGGATGAACAGGCCCAGGGATCACATCTAATAGTTAAAAAAAATAATTCTGTCAAAAAATATAATTCAGTGAATTTTGAAAAAAATAGAAATAAATGGTAAATGCACAGGATCCTTCAATTTTACTTTAAAAGTAATGACTTATAACGTTCCAGAATACATATTTTTCTATCATAAACAATTTTCATTAATTTTTTACAAAATAACTTTTAACACTAAAATATATATGCTACTCATTTTACCTGAATTATTATTTTTTAAAGACAGTAAAATGTAACAACAAATTATTCATATGCACATTTTAATTAATAAAGATTTGTTAACAATAGTATAGTAACCAGCATAGATAAAAGACAGATAGCCAATGGACATACATCATAAAGATTAATATCAATAAAATAATCCTTATATGTGATGTACTAATTAAAAGAGATAGATACTTAATTTATAGACAGCCAAATTGAAATTCGTGTACATAAAAAAAGATTAAACATTTGTATTCAGTAAATAATTAATAGCTGAAACTTCAGCTATATTGGAATGTATTATAATGTTAGATATCAATGAGACCTAAATGTTGACTATTAATGTAAAATGAAGTAAAATTAATATTTTAAATCAAATTTAACCGGCACAAAATAAACAATTATTATGTATGAGAGTAATATGAATGTCCAAAATGAATTTTTAATGATTTATTAGGAAAAATTGCATTGCATTGAAAATTTAATGATAGATAGAAATATAGCATAAAAATAAAATATTCACTATTGAGCAACATAACAATTTGATAAAATAATAAGTATTTGATTTTTTTTTATTTACATTAAATGAAAATTTTAAATGAATAAGTTTAATACTTTGTAATTTAACACAATTTTTTCATTTTCAATTATCATATACAAATTCGTTTTGGAAAACTTAATAAAGCTACACTTATAGACAAAAACATATTCTATTTTCTTTTCAAATGCAGTAATTAATTTTTGAGATTTTACGTGATTTATAATAATTTAAATTTTATAAAACAAGTTTAATACATTAAAGTAGTAATAACTAACATAAAAATTTAGAATTAAAAAAAAAATAAACATGAAACAATATTCAAAAGTTAGACTATATAAATAAGGACATGATGTCTAAAAAAATAGTAATGAACATATTTATACATAATACACATATATGTTAATACATGTATACATATATATACATAAAAAATATATAAACATTTAACAGTTAACATTGAAATTCATTTAAATATATTCATTCATTTGTATATGTAGATTATTATTATTATTAACTAATAATAATAATATTTTTCTAAAACTAACTTCCATACATTTTGCCTTATGAACTAAGTTAATTTTTGGTTCTAATTTTGTTTTAATGTCATACACAATATTACTTTTAATATCTTATTATAATAATACAATGAAGTAATAGAAAAATCTCAAACAAAAATAAAACCAATTCTCTATTATGAAGTTTTGTTTTTTCAAGAGAACTTCAGGCATAAATGAAATAATGTTTTGGTAGAACTTATAAAAATAAGTGCAAAGCAAAATGTTCTCATTAATTACACTGCACTGTTTCATCTACAGTATTTTTCATATACATAAGACATTGATTAATGACAGTTTGAGCTAAGCTATGGATTACACCAGGAGGATTGATCATACTGTCATTGTCATCAAGCAGTTCACTCATAATTCTTAAACCACCTTCTGCTATCACAATTGAACAATACTTTTCAGCTAGAAATTAAAAAAAAAATCAATTGTTTTAGCTAATATATTTTTTTATATATAGATATTGTGCAAAAATAAAATCCATAATTTTTATTTTTATTTTAGAATTCAAGACTTTTTATGAAGAATTAATTTTGCTTTTTTGTATCTTAAAAATAAAATGATCATTATTTTGTAAAAACTCACGGTAAACTTTGGTTAGGTTTGCTAAAGCCCATGCAGCCCAATGAGAACATTGAGGGGTATGTCTAACTTGGGCAAGTTGCAATATAGGTTCAAAAGAACGATAATTAATGTTACGATCTGCATCAAGATTCCAATTTTGAATGGCCTGAGTCATTCTTTCAAGTACTTTTTCTCTTGGAGGTGTTTTTATAATCCATGCTTTTTTCCCATCTGATGCTAAATGTGCAATTACTCCAGCAGCATTGTAACTCACCTGATTACAAATTGAAATTATTAATAATAAAATCAAATAATTTTGCTTAATAAATCAAAATATTTTACTTCAATTCCATCTTGAGTAGAAAACAAAAGATCAGAGAATACTTTAAGTAAATGACCTTGCATTAATCTTGGTCTTAGTTCTTTTACCTCAGCAACATTGCCTAATAAACCCATCATATTTCGCATCAATTCATTTTTATCTGGGAATGTCTGAAAATATTTTTTAGTAAGATAATTGTATTAATACAAAGCAAAATTATACTTTTTTTAGATCTTATCACTTTTTGATGTACTTATAGATGTCAAATTAATTAAAAGATGGAAAAATATTTTTATAAATAAAGAGTTTAGTGAAATACATATTTGTACTAAAGAAGAGAATTTGGACAATACTCCCTATCTAATTGAAAAAAATAATATTTTCTATTATTTTTACATATCTTAGTAATTATACTCTATTTTTTTCCAGATTCTTTTATTATCTAATATGACAATAGAATAGAAATAATTTAAGACGAGATTCTGATAAATCGCCATAAGAAAAGTATATGGATTTATCAAAATCTTGTAGGGTAAATACACACACACACACACACACACACACACATATATATATATAAAGGGGAAGAGTTCAAAATAAAAATAGAAAGTGATAGGAAGTTATATTTGGAAGAGTATATTTACATANAAATTTTCACAAACTTCAAAACGCTACAGAATATTTACTACTGAATATTAATAAGATATTTTTTTACTAAAATTTTTCTTAAATTCTACTCTACAAAATAGCTATCTTAGATTTTTTTTTTACATTTTATTTAAAATTTAAAAATAATTAATATTTTTAATAAAATGTAAAAAAATTAAATATTGAGATATTGCTATAGACCTAACGTATAACTATTATTTAAAAAAAGAATCAACTAAAAATATTAACTGGATCAAAAGTTATTTAAGTTGTCAGTGAGTGGTGGGCCACCCTGTATATATATAAAGGGGAAGAGTTCAAAATAAAAATAGAAAGTGATAGGAAGTTATATTTGGAAGAGTATATTTACATAAGAATTGGATAGAATATGGTCAGGGTTTGGTTAAAATTTTTTTTTTCCGAACAGTGTCATTGAACTTTTATTTATCTTCATTTTGTTAATGAATAAAAAAGCCAAATATAACTTACTGTTAAACACCCTAGGAAATATTTCATTCCATTTCCATCAAGGAACCGTTTACAATTTGTAGGTGCTTCATCTGTTACATTCCACATTGTTGACCATGCTACTTCAAGAACATCATCACATACACGGCGATGGAGTCTATCTTTAATAATAGCCATCATTTTCTTTAAAAACATAAATAAATTATTACTCTGAATAAACAATACATATAAATAATAATTTTTAATATCTAATTGGTAAAAAAAAAAAAGGAAATAATACAATAACACTTATGGCTTTAGAGATAAAACTTTTAAACTGCTATTAATTACTTTAATGGCACCTGCATCACCCAGTTCATTTTTCTGTTTATTGTTTACTTGACATGCAACTGAGTTCAGTAAATATATACCGATTCTTTGAACAAAACCTTCATGATCACTTGTGGATACTATATGCAGTAGCATTTGCACTAATCGTTTAAATTCAAACATCTGAAAAATGGGTAATTAAAATTATTAGAAGATCAATAATATGTTCATTTTATGTGAAAATTTATTAAAAATTTTGTCCCAACCAGAGATGTACTATCATACATGCATTATAAGTATATTCCTACAGCAAAAAATTTTCAAGATATAGTTTTTTAATTTAAGTGGTAGATATTTATTTTCTATTTAATTAAGTTTGTTATTATTAAGTTATCTAGCTTATAACTTTGTACAATAGGATTATTAAACTTTACTTTTAATAAATTTGCTTATTTTACTAACCACATCTTGAGGTATTCTTAATTGACATAAAGTCAGACAACCGTTTCTCATCATAGTTTCATCATAATTATGGTAATCCATTCCAGTTAATAATGTACTAATAATTCTTCTTTTGATAGTTATATCATTTAAAAGTAAAGGCCTCTCTTTGTTTTTAACAATGTAGAAGAGAGTTGCACTATAAAATGTTTTTTTAATTATTATTTTTATCAAAATTCAAATATTAATAGACAACTCACCTTCCAGAAATTTGAATTAATTTCTCATTAACATATCTTGTGAGTGCTTCTAGAACTATGTCCAAAGCTTGGTCAATCTGTGTACATTGGTCATATCTTAATAGATGATAAAGATCATTGAGAATATTTTGAAGAAGTTTTGGTTTGTCCATACATGAAGCAGCTGCATTAAATATTTGTTCTTCATTAGCATCACCACTTATCTGAAAATAAAATTGCATTATGTTAATAGATAAAAAAAAGTTGTTAATTTTATTATAAATTACTATTTTTGCTGGAATATCATGTCGTCTACAAGCATTATGCATAGTATGGTAGAGCCCCAAAAATTCTAAAGGATTATCTACTCTAGACTCTAAACCAGGAATGTCAGATTTTTTTCCACTTAAAGACTCACAGATTGGATGCTCTGCAGTACCTACAAAAGTACAAATTAAACTATGTTACAAAAAATAATTTTTAAGTATATTAATACATACTATTTAATAATCAGACACATAGATTTTAAAAGAGTAAAAGATTACTTAAGCATTTATTTCTTGAATTATATAATATATTTTGAAATGGTTAATACTTATTTTAGAAAGAGGGAAGAACATTAAATAACTTATAAGAGTGGGAGGAATAGATCACAGTCTATTCTCAAGAGAGAAAACGACTAACGATTATCATTATATAAGGTGTATTAAAAGTGTTGATAATAGGGTACCCTCGAGTGATGATGAAGTGAAAAAAAGGTGGAAAAAGTATTTTGAAAAAAATTACTAAATGAGGAGTATCCAAAAGAGACGTTAGAGAAATTCTTGTGGAATGAGGGATTGGTAGATTTAATCAGTGAGAAAGAGGTATCGGAGGCTGTGGCATCAATGAAAAAGAATAAAGCTGTGGGACCAGATGAAGTTCCAGTAGAAGTATGGAAAATATTAGGCGGTGTTGGCATAAGGTGGTTGAAGGAACTTTTAAATAAAATCTTATTAGAAGGCAAAATTCCAAATGAATGAATAGTATTGTGGTGCCGATATTTAAAGGTAAAGGTGACATACAGGAGTGTGGAAATTATAGAGGCATAAAGCTTATGAGTCATAGTATGAAAATTTGGGAAAAGGTAATAGATGAGAAAATAAGAAATGAGACATCGGTATCTAAAAACCAGTTTGGATTTATGCCTGGTAAGTCAACAATGGAGCCATTATTTTGTGTGAGGCAATTAATAAAAAGTTTAGGGAAAAAAGAAAAAGCTTTGTATGGTATTTATAGATTTGGAGAAAGCGTATGATAGAATACCGAGAGAGGTTCTAAAGTGGGCATTAATGAGAAATGTACATTAATATAATAAAGGATATGTATAATGGCACTTTTAACAAGGTAAAAAGAGTGGAAGAAGTAACAGAAGGTTTTCGGGTAAGAGTAAGAGTGCATCAGGGTTCTGCTTTATACCTTTACTTATTTTCTATAGTGATGGATGAAATTACTAGAGAAATACAAGGAGAGGTTCCGTGATGCATGTTCTTTGCTAACGATATAGTGTTAATAGGAAAAAATAGGGAGGAAATTAATCAAAGGCTAGAGGTGTGGAGATCAGCTCTTGAAGAAAATGGTTTAATAATAAGTAGAAGTAAGACAGAGTATATAGAGTACAAGTTTAACAAAGGAGAACACTAGGTAGGTGACATAAGGAGACCAGTGACAATAGGCGAGGACGTGATTGGAGAGGTGGAAAGTTTGAAGTATTTAGGATCAGTTGTGCAAAAGAGCGGTGGTATTGATGAGGATATAAGACAAAGGATTAAGTGCAGGTAGTTGAAGTGGAGAGAAACATCTGGTGTCTTATACGATAAAAGAATTCCAATGAGGCTGAAAGATAAATTCTACAAGACTGTAGTGAGACCAGCTATGATGTATGGTTCAGAGTGTTGGGTGGTTGATAAGAAAGTAGAGCACAGAATGAATGTATCAGAGATGAGAATGCTTAGATAGATGAGTGGAGTGACTAGAAAAGATAGAATAAAGAATGAGCATATAAGAGAGAGTATATGTATAACGTCAACGATAAGATGAGAGAAAATAGACTTAGATGGTTTGGTCATTCTATGAGGAAAGAACAATCGGAAGCTGTAAGAACAGTTATAGAAATGAATGTTGAAGGAAGAAGAGGTAGAGAAAGACCAAAAAAGAGATGGAGGAATGCTATTGAATGCAATTTGAGGACAGCTGATGTGAGCGTAGATGATGTGGGAGATTGTGTCAAGTGGAAGTTTAGGATAAGAGTGGCCGACCCCAAGTAGTTAGGATTAAGGCGAGGAAGAACAAGAAGATAAAATATGTTTTGAATGAGTATTATATATGATAGTAAATACAGTTAAATTTAATAACATTTTGAAGTAGAATTTTATATAGGTGTCATTTAAATCTTATGTTTCATATTTTGTTTACATATGAAATATAATCATTGCAGTAAATTTAATAAGTACAAGCTATACTACTAAATATAAAAGTAATAATAAGTATTATTTTTATTTTATTATAAATTTTCAAGTTGACTTTTTTTTTAAATAAAATAGTGCAAATATTTAAGTACTGTAAAGATTTAATTTATTTTTCGAATTAAAAAAAAAACATATTTTTTCAATTTAATCTATGATAAAATAATTTTAATTTCTTCAAAAAAATGTTAACCAACTGTTTTATTAAAATAATAGTATGTGTTTTTTACACAAGAAACAATAAAAAAATTTATTAAGGCAAAAATAAATTTTTATTAATTAAATTAAGATTATTATATCAAAGCCTCTTTTTCAAATAAATCTTTAAAGGATGTTTAAAACTTTACTCATCATGATTTCTTTTTTATAGTACTAAAACAAAATTTTTATTTATTTCATTAACAAACAGTTATAACACGGTATAAGACAAACTCATGGCCCGGAAATTATATGTATTTATAAATTTTAATTTATTTTAAACACACTATCAACCAGAATATTTCAATATTCTAGTTGAGAATATTTTGAAATTAAATTTTAGATTTTAAATTCAATATATTAATAATTTAATAAACTAAAAAATAATTATTTAAATAAAAATGTTATAAAAAAAATAATTAAAATTTTTTAAATTTTTTAAATAACTTATATAACTAATTCAAAATTTTAATTTTTTAACTATAAAAATATTTTTACATCACAAGTTTATTATAATGAAATTTCAAAATTATTGAAATATTTACTATTTTTTTTTTTTTAATTAATTAAAAATTACATCAAATATATTATTTATCTGTAGTTATAGGTAAAAACCTAAATCATAATATTGTAAATTTGAAAAAAAAAATGAGATTTAATAGCATATATAAAGTATTATATATTTATAATCAAGGTTACTAAAATCATATTATAGTGGTGCCATAATAAAATTCAAAATGTATTTGCAAACTTAAAAATGAAGGGTTCTCTTTAAAAAGGTTATCATTTATATGGTTCAAAATGTTTTCAATTTTGACTAGCTAATTATTAAAATTTTAATTAAATTATTTGTAAAAATGAAGTTATCAAAAACATGATCCAATTAAACTTTTATACAAAACTTACATATTATCAGCTAATTTACCTTTTCCAGCTAAATTTGTCCCAGATATATCTAGTGACATAAGATTAGGAAGACTTTTAACAATAAGAGATAATGTTTTGTTTTCATCCTTGTACACTCCTTGTTCTGGATAAGATTCAGTTTGAGATATATCTAAAACACTAAAATTACATATTTTAGTGATATTTATGCTATAAATATATTAAATATACTTACACTAATGACTGTAATGTACATATATGGTGAATGGCTTCATTATCTTGCAAATGAGGGACATCAAATAAAATTAAAGTATGTAAGTTTGTCAGTTTACAAAGGTAACGTAGACTACCAACTCCTAGGCAATATGAAAGATCAAGTACTCTTAGTTGTAACAGCTTGTCAAGCATAACGCCCAAAAATATATTATCGCTGCTGTATGGAGATTCAGCAATTGCTCGTAGGACCAGATGCTTTAAGTTGGGTGCCTTTTTATTAATCCGTATGGGTACATCATCCAATGATAATGAACAATTAGTTAACTTATTATAAGGTGTTATTTGTACGCTAGGACCTATGGTTAATGACCTTAAATTGATGGCATGTTTGAATATATTTTTATATGTTTTATGAGTTAAGTTCTGACAATTGGTCAATGTTAGTTCATATAAATCATGACGCAATAAATATTCAAGGCCATCATCTGTTATGCTTGAATTTCGTATATGCACTGATCTTAAATTTGTTTTAGTAACATCTTCAAATAAATGGGCAAAACAGTCGTAAATTTCACCACCATTATTTTGGTAAGTTTCAATGAATGGTTCACATATCTCACTTGGTAATGCTAAGCCTTCATGAAGTGTATAACCCTGAGGTGTTTCTGTACACAGAGTGCTTAAATTTCGTGCCACATACTTAAGACACAAACAAAATAGAGATTCTGGAACCCGTTTCTCTTTGTGTCTAAATTTAATAGGTATTCTACGACGTTCAGTTTGGTACATATTAGGAATATTACTCACCAAAAATTTTACGATCCCAAAAACGATAAGTAGATTGATTTATAAAACATCATAAAAAATAAGGTTACTTCAATGTCTTGCCAAAGAAAATGAAATGAGTATTTCCTTATAATCTATACAATGAAAGTTCGAAATGTTGAATCACAAAAAGCTGTAGTAAACCGTTAAATTGTAGTCAAATAGTGAACTCTTCAAAAATATTAAATGACAGATTTAACTTTCATAAATGACAGCAAAGGCTTATAAAATGCTAATGGTCTATGTTAGGCGATTGATGTTAAAAGTTGACTTACAGGGTAGCACAGAATAATTGCAAAACAACGAAATTATTGAATGTATTTTATTAATAAAATGCGAACATTCACGAACAATAACAATTTATCAGCTGGCCAATTATCAATGATTGGCGACAGTGTTGCCGACAAAATGATAAAGAATACTGAAATGACAAAATAACTTATTCATAAATTGTTATCAATAAAATTAAAATCTGTTTGTACCCACACAAGGCCATGTACTGACATTGTTAGTACTATCGAATGGTTTTGACTACTTGGTATATTCGATAGTTAACAATAATAGTTAAATAATCATTCGATTATTATTATCCGTGACTAATTAGTTTTAAACTACCAAATGAAATGTTCGATAGTTTTTATTAGAATATAAGCTACTGAATTATTCGATAGTTTTCAATTGAATAAATACTGCTGAATGAAATTTGCATGATTAAAAGCTTTTGACTATCGAACTACCGTATGAAATATTTAGTGGTTTTCATTTGAATAAAAACTACCGTATGTTTTACTTGATAGTTTGATAGTCAAAAATATTCAATCATGCAAATTTTCATTAAAAAAAAAAGTATTTATTTTTTCATATAGTTGTTTTAACCCGCATATGCCGAATGGCTAAAAACATAGCTGAACAAATATATATATAGTAAATCATAATGAAATGTAAAATTAGTTAATTTACTAATTGGTTGTTTTGTATGTTTATGGGAATGATTGAGTTACTATATACTTATTGAATAAAATGATATAATATAATTTTCTTTCGGGGTATGAGTACGAGGGTTTTATGAGAAGATGTAAAATATAGAAAAACAAAGTGATGTTTAAAAATTTATTAATAATAGTTTGAAATAAAAATTACTGCGATTAATTATACTTAAAATATCAATAACGCCACTCATATCAGTAGTTATCTAATCTTGTGTTAAATGTGACTCGTCTTAATAAATAACACGAATAAAAAAGTTATAGAGAATAATTCAGCTTTAATATTTTTAAAAATGCTGTAAAACTCAACTTTATTTTGATTGCATATTTTAATTATACGTTCCAAAATATTTTAATAGGGCTCAAGTCTCTTTTTTAGCTTCCATGCAAAGATGATTTTATTATATTATGATTTATATATTTGCATGATGCAAAGGTATTAATTTTACTATCGTGTTTTTTTTTTAATTTTTTCTTAAAACTGCTATAACTTTTTGAAAAATAAACGAATATAAATAATTTTTTGTTATATTGAAACCTTAGGTATTTTTCATTCATATTGTATGATTTTTTTTTAAATCTTACCATTTGATTGCCCACAGTGAAAGATTCAAAATAGAAACTTTTGCACACATGTTTAACTTTTTCAGTTATCTATTATGATAAAAATACAAAAAAATATTGAGATTTTTTGATAAATTTACTGTAAATAGTAATTAAAAAATGTTCAGACTCCATATTAATCTTAACAGTACCATTTTTTAATTCTCATAAAATTTTCTATTTGATGATGTTAATTACAAACATGCAAGTTGAGCTAAAAGCTATAGTAACTAATTAAATTTTTTAAATTGTAAACTTTCACAAAAATCAACTTAAAGGACCAAAAAAATAAGTTGAAATGAAATTTTACACTGATTATTTTGAACATATTAAAAATCAAAATCAGTAATAATTTGAAAATAAATTTTTGTTTTGATTTTAATTATTTTATTTACATGTAAATACTCGTTTTTCACTAATTAGTATCAAAATTTAGAAGTGATAGAAAAGTCTTATTGCAAATTTGAAAACAGTGCAAAAAGTTGATTTAGAAAAGTATAATTTATTTAAAATAATTTGGAAATTCTTTATTATTTATTCATAAATAACAAAAAAAAAATTTATAATGTATGCATTCAACCCTTTTAATTTGTATATACGTTTGCCTTAGAAGTAACGAAATATATAACTACTTTATTATTTTTAATTATTTTTCCGTAAAAATTGCAATAAAAAAATATTAAAAATCAATTTCATACTAAATTTAATTACTTATATATCCTTATATAACTAAGGTTATAACTAAGGAAATAGGAGTTGTAATTATTCATCAATTTCTTATAATTAAACACTATCTACAGATTTTCATAGAAGCATTTCTAACGATAGTCAAATTAATCGCTTTCAGTTATCATCTATACTTGTCCCAATTATACCACGTTCATACTGTGCCGCGATTCCACTATTTTACCGTTTTTTAAATTATTTTTTTTATTTGAAATGATGATTGTACAATTTCAAATGTTAAATTTTAAGTATCAGAAATATTTTTATAAACATTAAATTTTTTTTAATAGAATTTTGGCATTTAACGACCTGTTTCTACAAATAGCCTTAATGTACTCAATTATCTAAAAATTGTAAAAAGTGATTAAAATAAAAAAGCAGTCACTCAAGATTTCTCTTGAGTGATTGATACATTAGAAAACATTTTATAAGTAACACTCAAATCGAAATAAAAACGTGTTTTTACACGTAATTTTTTTTAATCATGGTGTCGCCTTATCTTCCACGGTTACATTCTTGGTGTTAGTCTAGAATAAAAAGTCATGTGATATTAATATTTTTCTTATTAATGCTTTGTACCTAATTCTCATTCTAATTATTATTTTATAAAGCATACAAATTGTGTTTTAATCTTATAATTTTGAAATTTTATATTCATTTTTTGCAATGTTTAAAACTATGGAATTTTTAAGAAAATAAACACGGATGGTTTAAAAATAATTACAATAATAATTTTGTTAATAATGCAAAGTTAATCTAATAGTTGTATTTTTATTGATTAATTTATTATTTACAACATACCATGAATAAATACAAATAATTTACACAACATATAGTTAATTTTTACAATAATAATAATATACTCATAGTTAAAACTAAGAAAATTTAATTGCTAAAATAACAACACGGTACAAGTATCTGTGACTTCATAATTATAATATTATTATCATTATTTGCTACAGATTTTCAAGATAAATTATACATGTGCGCAAAAAATGGAGTTGGGGTTCAAACCCCATCTTAAAAATTGTTTATTTGAAATCAAATTTTATTAAGCATAATGTAGTATAAGATTATGTACTCAGACACCTTACATGAATAATCTATACCTAACTCTGTGAATAATTACGATGTGTGATCACATTTTATTTTATTTCATTATTTATTTTTTATTTAAATAAAAATTGCACGCCTAATTTTTATTTCAGTAAAAATTAAACAATAATATGGTACAATAACAAATAACTAAACAAATTAAATATTGAGTTGACAATTATTCATTTAGGTTATTTCAACTTAAAGAAAAGTACAATTTAATATAACTTTAAATATAATATAATTTTGGGAAAGAGTAGTATGTTTTTTTTTAATATTATATGATTTTGCAAAAATGTGCGCAAATATGTACCCTATTGGAAATAATTTAGAATTTATTTCTATTAAGTGAGTAATAGTATTAAGTATAAAATAGTATAATTCATCTCTAAAATATGTAAAATAATATGTAATATTATAATATGTATTTAATATTTATATTACAAGGACCTAACTAATGGTAACTTAGTAGTGTGATAAAAGAACAAATTAGCCGACAAAGAAATTGTAAGGCGGTGAATAGGTGTCACAAACAATGTACATTATACAACTAATATAGAAATCATTAAACAAATATAATATATGTTATTATTTTATCAAAGTGTACACTCTTATTTTAATCTGTTATGACATAGTAGTATCATTGAAACTATTAGATAGTAATTTTGTAATTTTTTTATTGGATTATAAATATTATGGATGATCTGCTTTAATGTCATATTGGACAACAAATATACATGTATTCTTAGTATGTCATTATACTAAATTTTTTTTATATGTAAAAATATTCAAAAAGGTTTATCCTTCTACAACATTTAATATTTATAGTGATTTAAATTTTTATTGTTTTGTAAAAATAATTTTAAAGTTATACCTTTGGGCATTTTCGGAAACTTATCCGACAATAGAAGTTTATAATTAATATTATATGACTATATCACAGTGAAACAAAAAAAAAAAAACAATTATCATAAAACAAATTTAACGCAACATTATAATAATAATTTCTTTAACGTGGCGACGGTGGCGTAGGTTGTTGATGAGTTTGGGGAAGAATTTTATCACTTGAGATCGCCCCGCAGCCATTGTCTTCTCATACAGGATCGCTGTTTCGACCTACTGAACACATCATCATTGAGTCTTGGGAAAGTTCATCTAAAGAAGAATTTTCTGATGCTGTGAATAAAAAAATATGAATGTTAAAAAATTTTTATTAAAATTAATAGCTAAAAATATACATAATAATAGTTTAAATTTATTTTATATATGTATATTTTTTTTCATTTTTAACTTCCTCTCCAAAAACTGTGACTTATGCCAGAGAGAACGTAAAAAACCTACAAAGCCCAGCGCAACGGAATTGAACCCGGGTACCTATGAATGAGGTAAGACACAGAGTTAAGTACGTCGAAAATTATTATTTGAATGGCAATAAATATCACAAATGTCAGTATACGATAAATAACAATCAATTAAATAAAAACCCCTGCACAGGAGGGTCGCGGCACAGTGGTGACATGGCTTAGTTGAGTCAAGTATAATGATATCTGACAGTGATTAAAATCATTATAAAAAAAAAACGCTTTGATGCAAATCTTTAGATAGTGTTTAATTTTAAAAAATTGGTGGATTATTCCAAAAGCTACATGATCTGCTAGTTCCTTATTAATATCCTGATTAAGATAAAGTATGTCGAATGAAAAAGGGATTATTAAAAAATATTATTTCTCATAAAAAAATTATGTTGATCCATACATCTTTCAAAAAGTTATAGCATTATAAAGTTAAAAATATAAAAAAGAATTTTTTTACAAAAATCGTATTTTTTTTATTAACTCTGATGTCTGTTTTCACCATGAAGATAAAATAAAGTTCGAAATTTTTTTTTACCATAATAAAGTATATTACATTAGCTTTAATTTAAGATATATATAAAAGTGTCAGATTTTCCGGAACACTTTCAAAAGCTAAGTTGAAAAAGTTCTACTTTTTACATGCATTTTTTAGATTTGAACCCCCCTTGTATATAGGGAAATGGTCCGATTTAAAAAAACAGTATGTCAAATGAAAGATGTATATAAATACTACTTCTCATGAAAAAATTTTATTGATCCATACATTATTCTAAAAGTTATAGCATTTTAAAGTTAAAAATGTAAAATACAAAATCGAAAATTTTCACACGAAAATAGCATTCGGTAGCAATTTTCACCATGAAGATAAAATAAAGTCCGAAATTTTTTTTTTTCATAATAAAGTACATTACATTAGCTTTAATGTAAGATATATATAAAAGTGTCAGACCTTCCGGAACATTTTCAAAAGTTAAGTTGAAAAAGTTAATTTTTTGTAAAAAAGTTGTCATTTTAAATCCCCCCCTGTGGACAGTTAAAGGATCATATATAACAAAAAAATATACCAAATGAAAGATATCATGCATCTATATAAAAAAAATTATATTGATATGTTCATTTTTAAAAAAGTTATGGCAGTTTTTATTAAAAAAAATTGAAAAAATTTTGAAAATTAGCGATTTTTAAATTTGTAATTTTTTTGGAGGTTTCCTCCATTTACGGGGAACGAGGGACTTTTTTTCAATTTTTGAGGGTAATGTCTTCGACTAGATACGATTTGTGATCTTTTGACGTATCATTGAAAGAAATCGGTTCGGTGAGAGTTGAGAAAAAGTGGTAACAGACACAAAAAAAAAAGAAATAAACACATCTTAGTAAAACCAATACCTTCTCAGCTTCGCATCGAAGCTAAAATTAATGGCAGTCGAAATTATAAAAAGCTAATAGAATATTTAATTCCTTTTTTTTTTTTTTTTAATGAAAGAGCTCGCCTCTTTTGGAAAAATTATTCGCGAAGTTGAGAACAATTTTTTCAGTATTCCGTGAGCGTTTAAAAATGTTAACAAAAACACTTATTGTATTACGATTTAAAATTAGACATTTACCATGCTTAATCAGAAACATCCAAAGATAACCTGATAGTTCTGTCGAAATTCGTTGGTTTTTAACCGAATTATGAGCTTTTTAAGTCCATGCGAATAGTTTTTGCTTAGACACTATTTTTTGTGCGCTAATCGCAATTATTATATAGGGTGTTCAGTAAGTAAGGAAAACGGTTTCTATTGTTCTGATTGTTTATAAAAATTTACCTGTTTCCTTAATTTTTGAATACTCTATATATAAGCAGAAAAACTTTATATATTTAAAACACGCTACTTTTAAATTGCATATAATGATTGTAAAGCTTAATTGCGTTCATGTTTTGTCAATTATTTGGTCAAGTATACTTTTGAATAAAATAGGTGTGTGAACCCATCTAGTTGAAGGCTAGTAACGATTTATTAATTATTGTATAATATTATGATAATTCAAGTATGTTTTTCTTAGCTCATCATTTTAAAGCATAAAATAACATTCCTAGTACCTATCTATGTATGTCTATGATAAGTACCCAATTAATTTAATTATATTTGTGATTATAAGCGGTCTAATAACATTAAGTATGTTGATATGCCCCATAAAAAATTCGTATTTAGTTTGTTTCACGCTGATTTTTATGAGTAATTTAATAGTTTTAATTATCACCAACGTCAATTAATTTCGTTACAAATATACATTTGTATTATATTATTAATTAGTCATAGATTTAGTCACGATTAACCCTTACCCGTTGTTTGCGGCATGTAAACAGGTGATCCCCTCTGATGAGAATGATTGGACGACGGTGGTTGTTGAAAAGAGTACGTGAGATGCAAGTTTATATGCCTGTTGAAGTGGTTTTCCGAACCGTTTTGATGGTGAACTGTATGCCGTTAAAAAAACATAAACTAATTGTTACTTAAGTCGTTATTTTGAATATTACAGAATATAGATTTATGAAGGGCATAGAGATTATTTGAAAATTGTGTAATAAATTCATTTTCATGTTAACGGACAACATAAAGTTTCTATTTACAGTGATACTGTGACGGTCTAAAGGCAAATCCCACACTTGATAAATTTCAATTAAAATAAAATGTGATTTTTAAAAATATTACCTTAGAAAATATGTTGAACTATAAAAAAAATGTATTTTGAATTTGGAATTTGTTATTAGTATAATATATTTTCTCTATCCTCGGAAATAAAATTAGGAGAAAATAATTGGAGGGCATAAGTATAATAAGAGTTTTATTTAAAAAAAAAAATGGGCAAGTTAAATAATTGAACTTTGTCACAGAAACCTTTTACATACACACTAAAGTAATACTGTTAGAGTGTCCTTTTGTTACTACTTGTTGAATAGGTGTTTTAAAATAAAAATATAACCATTTGAAATCTCTTATAGTCCTTCTAATATCTTCACTTGATTATCTTTAAATAATAAATTTGGATTGTATACTTACGAATACTGTTCGGTGTGCTTTTCACTTTGCCAGTGTGTAAATGTTTTTTCTGCCTAGCTCTTGAGTTTTGAAACCAAACTTGTGTTACTCTTTTACTAAGACCTGTGATCTGTGCTATTCTCTCCAAGTCCTGGCCATCAGGATTGGAGTCTAATTGAAAATTAGCTTGTAGCACTTGCAACTGTTCTTCAGTAAACGTAGTTCGTACGCGTTTTGCTTTGTTTTTGCTGTGATAACTTTCAGAATCGCCTCCTTCTGTAAAATAATAAAAAACACTTATTATACTTTTAAATTGAATTAATTAATTTAAATTAAAGTCGTTTATAAGAAGAAAGTGTTACCAGAACGGAAATTTTGTCACCCTCTAAATAATCAATTTTAAACTTTATATACTGCAAACTAAATTTTGAATTAGTGATGGCTCTTCCAAGTATCCTTCAAAAGAGCCCTCAAATGACATGATGCTACTATATTAATAATATAAAATCAACAAAGTTAAAATAAACTTTAATATATGCAAGTGAAGGTCAATATTTTATAGAATTAATAACAACGTTTGAAGGATATACGGATAATTACAAAGCGAAGAACACAAACCCTTTGAATATAAATCTCGACAGGATATTCAATATGCTTTAATTTATACACGTGTTTAAACACATATATTAATATTTATATATTCTGATAACAAAACCGAGCAAGGCCAGCAAATTAACTACGGCTGAACAGGTCCGGATTGAGGAAAGCAAGAGGGACAATGGCACCTGGGTTCACGAGTAATAAAGGTCTAAAAATAAATAGGAACCTAGTCTTTTATTCTGAATAATTGGTGAAATAACTTGAAAAAAATTAAAGTTATATTATTTCTCTTATTAAATTTTTTATCACCCGCAGTTTTTATTTGTATTTCAATAAAATAATTGTTAAAAAAAAATATAGACATTTTATGGAAATAATTTTCTTGGGGTCCATCAAAAAATTTGACCCTAGGCCCCCAAATAGGTATATTCCTGTCTCGCGGCTAAAAAACATGTACTGATGTATTTATAGGTGGCTACAGGAAAGGACTGTGATATAGTACGTCAGATTTGTTCGAAATGTAATTTAAACTGCAAAAAATATTTCTCAAAAAATGTACTGAGAGTAAATAAGAATAATAATAATAATAATAAAAGAATAAATTCGCATAATGACAGTACTCGAATGTTATATGTATATATTTGTAAAGTATTGGTTTATTTGGAAAATATTTAATATCTTGAAATGAAAAATAGCTAAACATGTTTGTTTTTATATTATTTTTATTTTATTTGAGCATGTACACGTGGATTCAATAAAATATTTTGTTGAAAAAACATTTCAAGATAAAAAAATTTCGTTTGTTTTTTTTGCCTTCTGGAATTGACCATAATTTTATTTTTTTTAAAACACGCGACAATTACAATAATAATTGGAGTTTTGCAAAGTTCACAAGTTGCATTTGTTTTAACCGAACCGACGATTTCTCTAATGCGCTGTGAATATTTTTATACCGTCTTAAATCGTTTCGACGCGTTTGCATCATTATCTATCATATTTGCTAGCTCTATTTTTTTTTTTTTTTTCTGAAAGAAGAACAATTGGTTCGTTATAACTTTTGAAACGGTCCGATTTTGTTCGGTCAACTAAGAAGACGTTTGTTTACTTGCAAAAGCGTTTTGTGGCGAACGTCACTCAATGTAAATGTAACATGAGTATGTCTGAGGTTTATTCATTTATTAGCGATTAACGACATTATGTTGAGAAAAAAACGTGGTCGATAAAATGTCCGAATTCTTCGGTCCTTCGACAGTCGTGCGGCACTAAGTGTGAACGAACGGGTGGCCGTCGCGCAATGTTATGTTTCTCTGATTGAAAAGTGCGTCGCAGGGACAAAAGTCAGCTTGTAAACGTCAATCAACCCAACCGTTATATAAATCCGTCCTTTGTTGTGTAGACCTCACGCAACAACACAACCCGTTATTAAATATTGCGGGGACGACGGCAGAGGGCGGAAAGACGGTGTGTGCCGGATGAATCGAATTAGTGCGATTTTCCGGTGTGTGCAGAAAACCGGCCGACCGCTCTCATCATCGAACTATTGATGACATCATTGTGTGGGCGGATGGGTAGTAATGATCGCGAATTTCGGAGGGGTTACGTTTTCCTTGTTTCGTTTCCTTTTTATCGTCCGACAACTATATTTGATTATTGCGGGTGAATTCGATTTGGCGCGGCGATTTCACGGTTGGCGGATAAACAATGAATCTCTCGTCGCCGGCTCCCTTTCCCGGTGTCGTCCCATACACCAGCTCGTCTCTCCTCGCGCCGTTTTGCCCCGACGTTGACCTAATTAACATTAGCGCGCACATACAAGACGAACGCTCCCTCGGGGACGGACCTTAAGGTAAACGTACGGCGGAAACGTTACACTGATTAGTCTACGGAATCAAAGGTCCCGAGGAATCGCATTACTAGCTCTCGGAGGGATAATCACGTTAAGAACAAAGGCGGCTGCTATTTGTACTGTGTCGTTGTCTACCGCGTACAATGTGTATTGTAATATTTGCGCTAGATTGTTTGTAAGACCGCAATCAGCGCGGGCACGGCCAGTGGAGCAGCTACCGTCTAATTTGTAAACGTACCTGAAGAACTAGTCGTGCCGCCGTCCACTATGTCCAAATAGTGCGGTTTGCAGAGAACTCGGCCTTCGTGTAATGCGAACTCCTCGCCTGTGTTGAGTTGTCGGTCACAAGCGTCGCACCGGAAACACGCCAAATGGTAAACATGATCCCTGGCTTTCCGGACCCAATGAGAAGAGGAAATGCCTTTGGAACATTTTGAGCACACTGTACCGAAACTCCTGAAATCAATACATAACGCTATCAATGTTCGAAACCGAAACCAACTACTATTTTCACACGAAACAAAAAACGGACAACGCAATGCCAACAGATTTGAATGCCGAAATATCATCGATGAATCATTTGTTAGGCGTCTGTTTAAACAGCACCTAGTGGAATATTATTTAAACGTTCTGCTTTGTCAAATGAACAATGATTAACACTACGTGTACATATCACAGGGCACATTAAGCTGCAGGGCTAACTATGGACGTGCCTTTTCCCCGAGTGTGAATATTGTTGTATACTCACCCGGTAACTGGACCGCCGGCGTGTTAAATCGAACGGGTAACGCCCAACAGAGACATTGTGTGCATACTAAACAGTATTGCTGCTCTCTTACGTGTATCGAGTACTGCGTTGTACTAATACAGAAAAGATAACATTTTCACGGCGTGAATTTTTTTTACAATAATTTAGAACCGTTTGATGAGTCGTAGAAAATTCGAGAGAAACTTTTTTATGAAAATTACTTTCTGATAACTACGAGTTCGATGTAATTATATTTTCTATAAAGTAGTGTACTTTATTAGTGTACATGGTCAAATTATTGGTTATAATACTATTCTGCCTAAAGTTTGCCCCGATTGTAGAAATGTTTCATTTTATAAAGAACCGATACAGTCATAATTCACACGCGTTAGCAACACAATAATGTTACGGACACATTTTTAAGTTTTGAAAATTCATATGAAATCATTAAAAAATAGGCGTGACCGGAAAAGGCGAGTTACAAAGCAAGGATCGCTATGACTGTAATACAATAAGTGTTTTAAAACAAAGAAAAACAAAACAGTTTTTTAACTGACTACTAAAACATTACATTACGCACTTTGGTTTATCATACTGTGTCCGACTGAACCTGGTAAAAATTCAGTGTAAAACAAATGACTCGATGTGTTTAACGTTAATATTGTAAAGGTAGTAAGAAATATGAGATCAAACACTACACGCAATGAATGGTTTCATTTTTTATATTATTTTCCTCTATAAAAGTTCATAGATCGTTAAAATTGTTGATTTACTCGTAGAAAATAAAATGTTCCACTATTTATAATTGTATTTTATCAACCCGGTTGAGCCACCACAAGATTTCTTCAGTTTAGTGCAACGTAAAATTATTTTTATTTATTTTGTTTTATTCCGTGAACTTTTCGTATGGATACTTGAACCCTTCTCGTATATTTTATTATGCAAATAAAAAATAAAAAGACACGTTTGTATAACAATTCTAAAAGAAGGGTATTGTATGGTATGGTGAGCTTTGAAAACTAAGGGATGGCGAGACAGAAAAGTTTCATACGGTTGGGCACGTGTGCGGGCGTGCAAAGGCGGTTAATCCAATTGGCCGTCCAATCAGCTCCGGTGCACAAAGGGGCCAGGGGGAGACTGGCGTCATGAACGCGGAGAAATGCTTCTGGAAGAACGCGCAAGTTTATGTATGTATGCACACAATGTGCATTGATAAATGTATAAAGTTTTTGTGCGACATTTTTCATCCACGGGAAAAAAATGTTTCACAAAATCAGCAATTGATACGTAATATTTGAACATTAAAAAAAAATATGTTGTGTGTGATAAAATAACTATTTCTAGTTTACCGGAAGGAGAAAACATGTCATAAAGCTGGACCAAGGTGGAGTGGTCGTTTAAGTCCTAAAATATCATCTATGCCTTTAAACGAATTATTAGTTTAACCAGTCTACTTGTTGATCAACAAGTAATCAAATACTATACACCATAAGCATAACAGTAATTATAATGTTCTTAGTTTAAGGTGAACAACATACTATGGTTTTATAAACGGCCGGTACAAAAATTATTTTCGGTAAACAGATGAAAACCGATTTTTTTTCTCCAAATAGTTGTTCTTATATTGCAGTTTTCAAAACTCGTCATTTACCGACTAAAAAACATATGACCGCGGATAGCATAAGATATTGAACTGATAATAATTTTGTTAAATAAAAAAATGAATACCGGTAAGTAACAATTTTGGACAGCTAAGACTCGAAAGACTTAAAAGACATACCGTACAATATATGTTTGTACTGGTCATTGAGATTTTGGTGACTTTTTTTTTTAAATCTTTTTAGTACGGAAATACTGCAGATAAAAATGTAAATTATGTCCAATATGTGTTGTAATACACTTGTCGAACGCCCCGGGGAGGCAGGAGGAGCTGGTGCGGCTGCACAGCGGGGCGTGTGGGACGTATAATTTACTTAAGCCGAACGTCGACTTGCTTACCAAGTGTAAAACAATATAATAATCGCAATCCTTGTTACTCCCCTACCGTTAACTCTAATCATAATAATTACGTACGTCGTGCCGCCCCGCCTTGTGACAATTGGGTTGCAAACAAAACGGCGTCGCACATTTATTCGGTATAAATGTCATTATGTTATTATATTCGCGAAACTCGGATTTTGAGTATAATACTATTACAATACGCGAACAACATAAAATATACGAGTAGATCGTGACCGGAATTATTCTTTTCATCGTATCTTTTCGCGTCCACAGCGGATTTCTTATTTTATTTTGTTTTTTAAAAGCAACAACAAAACATAAATAATATCGAAACTTTTATTGTTTTTTTTTTCTAGCTGACAGAAGCTTTTGTGTTATACGCACTTGCACAAAAATTCACCAAGTGAAGGCTGAAAAGAATGATAGGAATGGCATTGGGATATTGTACTCGAAACGTGGATAGTATATTGATTAAGGAAAGGCTGTGTGTCAGAAATACTATTTCATCTTATCTTTGCACGTTTTTGAATTTTATTTTTGCTTTGTAAATAACTCAATCGAACTTGTTCTTTTCGTTGAAACGAGTTAATATTATTTAACTTTAAAAAGACGATATTTAAGTGTTTTTATTTATGGTTTTTTCTTCAAATTCGACCAATAAAAAATATGCAAAATTAATCGTTTTCAATACATGAAAAAATAAAATTTTTAGTAAGCAATGTCTGTCTAAAATTAACACGTTCATCAATTTGGAATGTTAATGCGATGTGGTGCTAAATAAAAAAATATCATTGTATTGATACGATTTTATATTAACTTAAAAACAATCACTTATTTTAAATTAGCGTTTTATTAAATGATGTTATAAAACTTAATTAAACATTTTAAGAAAAATTTACGTTTGTCTGTATGATAAATAAAAATGAGCATTAGGAATTCCTTTAACTAATGTTATGAAGAGTATTTGAAAATACTATAATACTATTCTTATGACTCCCAACTCGACAATATGGACCTGCGTTTAATATTTATTTAAAAAAAGTTTAAGCTAAAATCAAAACATAGTTGCTGTGGGAATTTCGATTTATCATAATAAATCCATTATTCATTTATATACCTAAAAAAACATTCAAGTGTAATGAAACCCGTCTTCACGAGTGTGCCTATGAGTTATGTGAAGAGTTAAACGTGGCCAGCGACGAGCCAGAAACGTAGCCAAGAGTAATAAGCGTTTGGCTTCCCTTAGTAATATTTAATTATGGCTTGTCATCAGTAATTAAAACACATCAAAAACTTATTCGCGTTTTAAAATAAATGCAGATATATGCAGCAGTAGATAACTGTCGGCTTATATTGTTCAATAAAAACATATAATTACTTTGCTCCCTCACTGTGATATTATTTGCTTGTAGTAAAAAGTAAAAAAGTGACTTTTGGGTGGTCAGTAATTCATAACCATCTACTAACACACCGTACAAAGGGTAGAACTTATTACAACTGTTCTATTATGTGTATAAACGTTGAACATATAAATATATATCATGTTATTATTACCTTAACAGTTCGGAGGACAACGGCGGCATTTATACATGCGTTGTACGATTACTACACGCAAGTCTTTTTGAAAAAGAAAAACACACATGCATTTATATACATTATTCAAGAAAACAAAATATGAGCGCGTATGTGTGCTTTTTTGTTGAGGACGGATTATAGCTGTTTTTTAAGGCATTAGTAACGGCGACCGGCGGAATAAATGAGAAAAGTGTTTTGTTTAGAACTCACCGGTCCATGGTAATATGCAGCATTTTGTAAAAAATCACGCGCGCACCGCCGTACATACAATTATTATTATTATTATTATTATTATTATTACTATTACTATTATTTTTCTCGGGTGTATATTATGTACGTTATAAAAAAATATCACGCAAGAAGGACGAATCGTGTGTGTACCTTTAGAAAACGCTCATGTTCCTAAGACTTATGAAAAATTTTAAAACAACACAACCCAACTTGACATAATGATTTGTCACACGTCCGTTCCGTTTTGCCCGGAACGAATGTATTCAAACATTTTGCTCTTAAGCTTACCATCAAATGCAATTCGACGCAAAATTTTTAAAGAAAAAAACCTATTAAGTTGACTATCGCATCCATTAAGAACAAATGAATTTTTTTTTAATTAAGTTCAATAACATAATTGTAAATATAAATATATGAATGCATTAGATTTTCAAATAGTCAGTAAACTTATTTTATGTTTCCTATATAAATAATAAAGAACGAGTTTTACTTCACTTTGACCGAGTGTGTAAAGATTTAATACTACTTATACTAAATGATTAGATTTTAAAAAGATCTTGGCAACTATCTATATAACTGTATAATGTAACACAAATAAAGCATAAACTTGATCGTTATTATTTAAATATTACGTACTCATTGTTTGATCAACAACAATTAATCTCCGTCAGATTTTAAGGCTTCCCATTATTAATTATGTATATTTTACAACAGAAAATATATAAAAACATTATAATAATATTAAAATCTTTAATCGTTCGAATGTACTAAATGTAATTAAAAAAATAATACATATATCTAAAATATAATATGTTTAGTGTAATATTATATAATTAACAAGAAAGAAACTATTTGCTTTAAATTGAAAAATATTGCTAATCACAATTTATCCTAAGAAATAATTTATCAATAAATTTCAATTGTACATTTTTCAAATGAAATAGCTAAAACATAATATGTATATAATATTACTATGAACTTTTTTAATTAAAATTTCAGAGTTTAAATTTCCTCAAATAAATTCGAAAAAAAATTTATAGTATTCTTAATTTCTAAATTTTGTACTCAAATATTTTTCGAGGGAATAATATATATATATATATATATATTTAAAACATATATGTTTAAAATGCAAAAATTTGTGCATGCGTAAAGCATTAGTAAAAAAGCTGTATAAATATATTATTACAGCTGTAGCTGTAATAGTTAACTTAATTAAATAGTATAATTAAAACAATTGTCAATTTAGAGATTTTATTCTAATCAAAATAAAATCAAAAAGTTCCAAAGACTATTTTTTAAGAAGTATTCATAAAATTCACGTGCAATTAGGATTATTAAAACAAACTGTCATTAGAAAAATAAATTATTAATATACTTTTTTTTACAATAGTGTTATTGTTATTTTGTAACATTATTCATTGTTATTCGTACACACAATGTAGTACTGTATACATATATTGGATATAGGGAGTAGTTCTTAGAGAAATAATCGCATTGAAAATGATGATGGAAATACAAAATTGACGCTTACGGTAATGACAATGAAAAATAAATAAAAACCAAATCGTTTTGGAGAAATCAATCTTTGTCGAGGGTTCATATATATTCATAAAAATATATACACTGCACATTGAAACTATCATCTATAAAACTAGCTTGGTTTTGATTTCTATCATTCGCTCTTAGTACTGACCGTACACTATAGACGATGCCTCTCGAGTGTGTAACCTTTGTACAAATAATATAAACACTCCGGATGAGTAGGCATGTTCTCCTTTCGGTATATATTTATTATTATTATTATTATTATTATATTATTTTGTTTTTTTTTTTTATTGTATACGATCGGACGTTTGAGGAACCATTTGTCATCTCTCTCTTTTTTTCCTCCGCTTCTCCTCGTCTCCAGGGACATAACACTGTTCTGGCGATATGCGTTTTCTACACGTAGCCGTATATCATAGTTGTGTTTAAAAAAGAAGAAGTGTGAACCACTCGACCTTGCCGCCGCATCATCGAGAGACCAATATTACGATCAATTTTTTTTTTTTACTATCATTATTATTATTAATGTAATAATTCGTATTGATCGGATCGCAAGACGGGCGCGGAGGTCTGACCCCGAAATGTTACTTAGTTTTCTGAGGTCATCAACACCGATCGAATGATGAAAACAGATTTTATTTTATTATCACACAGCCTCCGGTGACTATATACGCCCGGAAATGGATGCCTTTTTGCTCAAGTATTGTCATTGTAGGCACACATGGTGATGTTATCCAATCCATCATCATACCTTGCCATGTTACTTTTTATATATCATTCTAAAGCTTTTCGTCGTTTTTGCAGCAACTTGCAGCGTAAAAAATATTTAATACATTTCGATACTTTTGACTGTGCCTATAAATTATGCAATAACCGTTGGTCGTATGAAAAGTAAATTAGAATTATAACTACATATTAATTTGAATGCTATTGAACTGTTGAAAATTATCAACTAAAATAATTAAGTTATGGACATTGCATTACAATTTTAATGAGTTAACGAGTGCGTGTATTAAAAAGATTAACGACTTTTTAATAATTCGTTTAACGTAATAGGACAGAGCAATAGCTTACATTCAACAAGTAATTAAAAAAGTACCCGTCTTAATTTATTGTACTATGAAGTGAAAACTTGAAATGAACACCAACCACGCTCCTATCGTTACACATTAGCTTACTTTGTAATAATTCAGCGAGTCGTCCAGGAAACACACAAATAACTCGATTGAATGAGTAAAAAGACAAATACATTGATGATAAAATAAAAGAAGCTCGGGACTATAGTTAAACTGTGAAGAGACCACCATCGGTGTAGGTAGAAATTAATTCCGTTATCGTACCTAGTAGTGTGTACCGACTGGCAGATTTATAGGACGATACGTGCTATTTAATTGGCCCCCTTGTAGTGTTTTTATATACACTTACACATTCATAAAAGTAATGAGTAGGATTTCGAGCCGGGTCTCTGTTAGTTTTATATTTTTTCGTTCATTTATAAACACAATATGTATGGTAATCTAGAAATCCGAGTGGGAAGTATGCTCTCGACGATATAAAGATATTTACTGTGTAGGTTGTCGCCAAAAATATTTAGTTTAACCAAAATCGATAAATTAGTTAAGTTTTAAAGACTGCGAATTCTTCGCGATTGATCAGCACTTAAAAACATATTTATCGATATGTTTTATTTTCACTTGGACATCACAGAGTCATTATGAACATTTTTATTTTTTTATATTAATTACGACAATATGTATTAATGTTGTATGATAAAACCGGTGATTTTTTTCTTTCATACTTTTTACTTTCCTTTATAATCATATGTTAATCGGGAACACCGTTAAAAACTCATCCTTTTGTCCATTATGTTAACAGTTTTGTTTACATTTTCTACTCTCCATTAACCGAACACAAGGCGAAGTAAAAGAAAAAGGCAACCGCATAGAAAATTTAGAGACAAATAGGAACACTGATGGTACCAACTACTCGGTCGGTGGCGATTAGTTTCGGTTTTTTACACAACTGTAAGATGTCCTAGTATTGTCGTCATTCGGGGGTGGATAGGATGTCAAAAAAAAAAAACAAAAAAATCATCTTCTCGCGCGGTCCACAGAAGTCAATGTCAACCCGCTTCAACACAGGTGCGAACCATTGTGCACGCATACATATTATTACACGTTTACTGCTCTCTCAAACCAAGTATCCCGAAACATGTCTGATTTTATGATTTATACGACCGGCCCCGCTTCTGTGTCTGCATTACTCAACGAAGCACATAAATCACAGATACTGGGTTCACGAAAAAATACATAAAAAACACTACGGATAACACCTATTATAAACGGCGGCTTGTGTTTACGGTCCGCGTTGAAAATTCGGCCACTTCTCAATGACTTGGGAGGTCATAAATTTTTAAATAAACAATACTGCCGTACACTTATGGAGACCTTTATGATTTGCCAGAATAATCATTGCTCGTAAAAAGGCGTTAATGATTTGTCTTACACCAGTTCTAGAAGGTTTGTCTCACGAATATCTCTGTTGTTGCATTAAACCCTTGTACACCGATATCAACAAGACCTAAGAGGATTATTCTTTTGTCGATTTCATTTTTAATACACTGTACTTTTGGGTAACAACAATTATGTCATATTATTTAGATTTACCCTATACTATAACTGATTGTTTGGACACGCATCGAGAAGGTACTGTGATGATTTCAATAAATAAATAATTACAAAAGTGTTGGCCAACTAAAAAAAAAAAATACATTATAATTTTGTTTAAATTGTTCAACAGCTTGAAACCTTCTGCAACCGCTGTAGCTAACGGGTGTCGGGATTTACATTACATTAACTGAAAATTATGCATGTTTCAAGCTCTAGCATCAGTTTTGTTTGTGTAAACGCATGCTGTAAACGGATGAAATTATAATTGCACATATTGTTTTACTCGACACAATAGTCAATCGTGTAACTGTTAAATTAACGCGTGTATATTAACATTAATTAACAGATAATCGATTCATCTTGCAGCTGTCTATTTGTTTATGATTACCAAACAGCTAATGAAATAGTTACAATTATTTATTTGTATTACAAACAAAAAGAAGCCAAATAGAAATATTTACCTGGCATAATCTTGACGACAGTAAACAGAATCATCTTTAACAAAACAGGAAGGTTCGTCTTCTAATATCAAGTTACAAACACAACATCTCAAACAAGACACGTGCCATATTTTATCAGATACTTTCAACAAAAATCTGTCGGTGATAGGATCGGAACAGCCTCGGCATTGCAGAACTTCAGTCTGAAATGAAGAAAAATATTAATATATAACTAAGTACTTATAGTAGTAAAATGTGTTATTTTAAACTCTAATATATGTTATGATAAACACTTGAAAGTATTGTTTTAGCGTCTAAATATACATAAAAATAAATGTAAAAACTTAAAAATTAAAATATTGAACCTTAATACATATATAATTACATTTTGATAACTAAAATTTAATACATAAATTTTAAAAAGAAAAAAAGATTTATTAATTTTATTTCGGAGAATAGTCAAGTTTCAATCGTAGTATAATGCATAACTTTAATAACATATAGTATATTATGATTTTTTTTGATATGAACATTTCTATGGTTTTTTTTAAATTCGAACAGTTGTTTGGCTTCTTTAAAATTTGAGCATTTTTATGGCTTCTCTAAAATGTTATCATATCAATGGCTTCTTTAAAATTCTAATATTTTTATAGCTTTTCCAGTTTTCAAATACAATAAAAATATCAGAGATTTTCATTGACTGATCACAGAAAACTCTTTTTAATCTAATAGACATTATCCACAGCAATTACTACTTTATATTAGAACCTTTTCGTTATGGTGTGAAATTTAGATTATGTACATGTTTTACTTCCTTGAATATTATTCTTATTTACGTTACTAAAATAACGTTAAAAACATAAAATAGGACTGAAAATTCGAAATTTGTAAAAATACGCAACATTAAATTTCGTATGTAGCTAATTGGTTTTTAGAAAAAAATTCATAACTTATTTAGGTTTCCTAAAGACCTTTAAAAAAATATATAATATAAATGCTAGAAATAAAGAGTTTTGTATAAAACACATCTCAAATGGAAATAAATTCTCTTTAAACGAATAATAAATCAAAATATGGTAGTCAACGACCTTGGCATAAATTATTTACTAGGATATTGGAACTAAAGTCAATCATTTTTCAGTCTTGTTGTCGTACCCATACATATTATGCTCTTTTAATATTTTTTAATGTATGAATAACATTGACTTAACATATTCATTCGAATAAGATTTAAACATTAACAAATGACTTCATTAATTACTCGACAGACGAGAACGCGTTGCATTAAAATTGACACGACAAGCAGTTTGACATTATTAATTATATGTAATCAATCGATATAGTATAATATTTATAGATAAATAATTCGATATCATTAAAATGTAACTATTGAAATCACACACAAAAAAAGAAGTTTTCCCTAGACAACTAAGCTTTTTTTGATTATTTAATTGAAATAATTATTATTTCAATGGAAAACTTTTAACACGCAATTTATCAAACATTTTGGTAACATAAATAAATTTTAGATGTATAAAAATAATTATATATTGTTAAGCAATATGCAACAACAGATTGGTTACATATTATAGTCCTCCGGTGTTCATACAATTTTCGATGTTTTGTATATCGAAATATTTTTCCAACCGATAAAGTTGTAAATGATAATATAGTAAATATACTCTTTCGTTGATCAGTAAATCGTCATTAATATTTAGATCTCATATCTTGTTCCATACGATTAAGCAGAAGTCATAAAAACAACCAGTCGTAGACACAAAGTAAGAATCATCGACTTAAAAATACAAATTAAATTTTATTTAAAATTTATTTTAATTTCTCTAAAAAACGAAGATACGAATGATTATTGATGTATTCAGTTATTATACCTAACATATTTTTGAATCGATGGATGGTTAAATTATATTAACGTACAAAACTACCGCGCAGCAATATATTTTTTAGGTTGTTTACGGTTTTGCACGCAACTGCCGATAAACCAATAGGGACAGTCCATTTGATATATATCTAACGTATAAATTATGCGTACAACTAACCTGACCTGGTATTGCAGTCGATATCGAAAAAATATTACCTTTCTTAAATTACAACACCTTACACCATATAATTCTTTTTAATATTAAAATATTTTTAAGTTTTTAACGTTGACCAGATAAAATAAAATCATTAAAACCTACAAATGATTTAAAATTTAATAAATCTACATCAATTACTTGGGTATATTGTGCAATTTTTCCATTGTTTTTTGTGATTATTTTATTTTACACCATTTTCAATTTAAAGTCTTAACAGTTAGTTTTTGAAAAAAATACTATTCAATAGTTAACAGAATAATTCAACATATCATGTAAGCTAATTTAAATATACTGCTGCTTTTTCTTACTGAAATATGACAAAAATTTCTTAAGGATTTACAATGCAACTCTTCCAAACGGCCATTAATTTAACAGATATTACTACACATGAATAGACTTTAACGATGGTGTAGGACAGCTGTGAGGTGTATTAAAAGAATTTTACAGACGAAACACTATCACAATTTCAATGTGACCACGCGTATGAAACGAATAAAAATTATTATTTGATCGAGCGCGCCTAGTACAGCGAATAATTTACCATGCTGTTAAATTAGTGTAAATTATGATGAATACGTCTATGTAGTAGTGGTGCTCATCCTACGTGGTCGATGTCTAATGGTTATCGTGCATACTAGAAAAATAAAATAAACAATATCTAAAATCATAACCGAGGGGTTTATTGAGTGACCAACTCGAGTTTTGGATGGACAAAAAACATTAAAGAAATCTAGACGTCCCGTCGTTACATCCGTGATATTTGCCTAAATATATAACAACAAATGTGTTTTTTTTTTTGTTCATCCGAGTAATAATAATATGATAACTATTATTTTGTTGTTTTTTCGACGTGTCGTAAAAATATCAGACTGAACGTTCATGAAAATCGTAAACGGCGCTATACTTTGACGTGATTATAATATACGTAAGATAGTTGTGGATAGCACGTGCCCATAAAAATGAAAACAAATTACTCTACACTGTTTTTATACGCAGACACGATATACTGTATAATGTCCGTACTGTTGAGCGTCTTTGAAGTTTAAAACAAACGAATAAACACTTGTATACACGTATTTAAGACCGGACTCCCGCAGATTTTATAAAAACTGTATTAACATGTCATACTATAATGTGTTTGGTCGGCGACCTTAGTATTAACTGTAGTTTGTAATACTGCTTGTTAATTATTTTTTTATTCCACTAAATAGTTTTATAAGATATAAAAATGTGCATGTAACTTCTATTTCACTGATTATGTAAAGCCTAAACTAAAGCCAAACTTACTACGGATTATATTAGGGGGTACCCTTTGTATACGGCGGCAATTACTATTACAAACAAGTAATGTAATTTTAACAATAAGTATCGAAACTTCGTACATAAGTATAATATTTTTCCTTACATTGTATGCGTTAAAAACTTCCAGTACATAATATGTCCATATATTATATGGACATTTTTTTTAAGAGTGCAAGATAAAGAATTTTTATGGTAAAGTTTTTATTTTATGTTTTAAAACTCATTTGGTATACTAGTTATTACGCTTCGATACTAACGTTGCATACATCCTAATGTACCTAGTTACGCTTTTGGAAGCAAAAATAATGTTCAAAGTGCGTACACATAATAATTATGTGTGTTAAGTTCTAATATTTTTACGACATTTTATAATTATTATAAGGTATAATTTGCTCATCATAAGCATATTCCGATCATTTTTGCAGGTCTTGTCTAAAGTGCTTAAACCCTTCTTTCTCATCTCAAAAAATTATGTTTATTGTTATAAGAAATATTTTTTAAGAAACAATAAATATCCAATCACTTATAACATTTTTTACTTTATTTTAATTGTGTCTATACAAGGTAATTCTTTTAACGCTAACCACTTGATTTCTCTTAAAAAAATTAATATATTTTTACATTTTCTTTTAAATGTTGCTAACATGTTATATGTTACAACAATGTTACATACATATTTATTTCCATTTATCTATAATGAAGTAATTTTTAGGTCCATCCTTTATATCTTGTAGGGTGTCAATTTTAAATGGCAACATACGTATTAATCTAACATATAAAATCGAAAATGATCAAGAATGAATGACAACAACTTTTAGATCAATATGTAGTAAGTTATTAGCAATTTAAAATATAGACTGGAGGTGAAAAGCGGATATTGCTATTTTTATGATTACGCACCATTCTGCCGCACTCTTCCTACATTCTTCAATTAAAAATATTAATACCTTCCAAAATATAGGGTCAAAAATTGTTATCAACTTTTAGTCCATTTCTATTTCATAAGCTAGTTTAATACATATGTTGTCATTAAAAAAAAAATTAAATTAACACCTCTATAAGATATAAAGGATGGACATAAAAATTATTTTATAGTAGATAAATGAAGCTAAATATGTAACTAACAAAATCCTAGAAAAATTAATTTCAAAAAACTCATTATTTTAAGAGAAATTGAATGTTAAATTTTTAGAAAATGTTTATTAACAAGAATAGCATATTAACTGTTTTTATTATAAATATATATATTTTCACAAAATTATATCATTAAATTATTGTTTAATATTAAGGTAGTTAAAATTGATAAAGATACACATTTATATTTTTTTTTATTTAATAGTGTGTAATTTTATTACTCAATAAAGAAATTACCCTATGTGCAATGAAGCGAGGTTCATATTTATGAGAGATCCCCAGTGATATAAAATGTAAATGCACCTTAAAACTTCTATATAACGTTCAATAAATTGCAGATGATAATGAATAATTTTTGAAGTTCCGAAGAATGGGCAGTAAAAATAGAAGTATGGTAATTGTAATTACCATACTTCTAGTTTTCAATATTTAAATAGAAGAATCTATGGTACAAGAAATTTCATTTAATTATTTTGGCTCTTAAACTAAAAATTAAACTTACTAATACTAGATAAAACTATGCCTTAGCAGTATAATCCTTTTTTACAACAGTGCAATTGTTTTTAACAATTTATCAATTTTATCAATAAATAATTTCACACAAAATGATTACATTTTTTCTTACGTAGAGACTTAAATGATGTGTCAACTGTATTAAGACATCATTTTGCAGTATCATTCGATCTGTCGATACCCTTTGGGTTTGAATTATCAACCATACAAAAAGGCAGCCGTTGGTGGGAAGTGTTTTATTGCTACTTGTACTTTTACTATTAAGAAATATTGTGAGACATACAGAATTTGCGGTGGCAGTATATACGAGGTAGTCCGACCGGTTATCTATTTAACCGACAAAATGTACTTACGTATATGTTCATTCATTCTCTCTGCAGTATGTTATTATAATTTTTCTCGTTCATCAGGAAACACAAATTATATTAACACAAAAGCTTTTGACGAACAACGATTACATACAAATACATAAATATGTGGTCTAGACATTTTATTGGTAAAGGTGTGAGTCGCATGTACTCTCGGGTGTCATGGTTGGTGACGACGTGGGCATTGGTCTTTTTCCTAATATTATAAAATTTATACCGCGAAATTGCCAAGTTTATTTTGTATCTGTGTAATATATGCGATGACGTTTAAAATAGTGCAGTGTCATATAAATTATACAATATTTTACAAAACCCGTACAAGTTGTAAAACACGTTGTTCAGTATATTTTTAAAATGATAGGCATTATTTCTTCGAATACAACTTTATAGTCTATAAGTGTTTAGTTGTATTTATATTAAACAACATTATGTATTTTATTATTTTTGATATTGACAATATTTTTATGGCTTTATTATTGCAATGTTTATTTGTCAATTATATACATTAAACGACTAACAATAATTTTTGGTCGTTTTAGCATAAATAATTTATGCTAATATATTATACGACTTTTTAGTTATTTATTTTACGAACAGCAAATATTTGAATGAAAATAAGAAAAATGTTATTAATGTTATGCGGTTACAATTAATTGCATACATTATGACAATGTTTACAGCCAATGAAAATTAATATCGGTATATACCTACTTCAAGTGAATAAAAAAAAATATAAAATTTTCATGGAGGCAATGAAGATAATCAAACAAATAGACTTCAATATGTTTTGTTTTTAAATTCAAAAAAAAAAAATTATATTGTTTCTAGGTCACTTTCATTAATTTTTCATTTATACTTCGTTAAATAGATTAAGTGACTTTATCTTTTATTTTTATAGTGGCCATAATAAAGTTAAAATAATAAAACATGTTTTTGTTTAAAATGTGTTACTCGACAGTAATAATAAAATACATATATGTCGGTAAGGGCATAAACGGTATGTGAAACGTTTTGCCCCTTTCATGCGACAGTCACGGTACGTTGATTCGAATGACAGGTCGCCTCTTCCTTCCTCTCCACATCCACCAATAAGCACTGGGAAACGACATCGGGGCAAACAAATTATCCTTGTTTTCACACCGGTTCTCTCTTTGACTACTACTACTGTTTTTTGTATCAGCCTGTCTGTTCGTACCCTCCTAGCATCCCTATTCCTTTTTTTATATCCTACCCCGCCATTTAAACAATATGGCTGGCATTGTCTTTTCCATATACATCAAGAATTACGTCCATCACATGCTCTTTTGAATCTATACACCGGAACGACAAATTTCGTTGATAACATAGGTACATATCATTTGTATTCAAACACACAAAAAAATACTCACCAAAACGAATATGTATTTTTTGGAATCCAATAAAATTATATCATTGAGTATATAGTTTTTATTCACATTTCCAATATTTTGCAAAAGAAATAGTATCTAAGGTTTCAAATAAAACTCTAAGGAAAATGGGTTCAAAATACTTCCTTAATTATTAAATAAACATTTTTAAAAATGAATAATTTTGATGAATTTTTATTAATATGTCCAAGTAATAACCCTGCCTATACCGTCATTATTATATTCTATGTGCGACACTGCAACCTAGAGTTTTTAAAAATATTAAATCATTATTTTGAAAAAATTCTAATTAATTTCTACATATTTTGATAGATATTATTTATTACATTACTTTATTGTTTATTTACCCATTACTACCCTAGAAAAACAAAACATTTATAATCAATAAATGCCTATCAAATTTTATTTGTTAAGCAAATTAAAAATAACTATAGATCAATAAAATATTTATCAAATTAACAAATTTTTTACTCGAATAATAATAAATACGATTTATTTAACAAAAAAAATTTCTCGGGTACTCATTAAAAATTCATTAGTACAATTTTACCATTGAACAATTGTGGGCAGGTTAAAGCGAAAGTTGTTTAAGTCAATTTAAATCATTTTTCTGGACAGTTTGAAATATCATTTGAATCCCTTAAGGACTAATAGATATTTATATCTAAACATGCAACGATATTGCTACTATACAAAATCATATTGTTATAATTGAAACCAAAGATAGAGTTAAGTTTGGTATATTTATTTGTACCACTTTTACTCCATCCTTCCCACTTGTTAATATGACTTAAATTATGTAGTAAACGAGTTTATAGACAATTATTTTTTTAGTTGTCGTATTCTTAATATGGATATAAAAAGTGGGGATATCATTAAAATACATATTGATAATCTTTTTTTCCGAGAACATTTTAATTAATATACCTTTTTAGAAAATGTTTAAACGGGTTTATTAAATACGACATGTCTTTTTGCACAATGTCGTACGTGTATCCCTAAAATTCAGTAATTATCAAATACACCAATGTATATGAGTATCATTAAATTGTAAGAGCAATATAATTGTAGAATGTATGATTAAGCAAAAAATAGAGTATGCCATATGATGGTGGGTTATATGAAAGTCATATAAAAAGATAATGGGTATAGTACCGGCGTGTGAACGTAAAGTTTTCTGAGTGTTGGTCATAAGAGCGCGTGGATTTTCTATTAACCACAGTATAATATAAAGAGGGGTGACCTGTATGTTTTGCTAAAATTATTGTTTGTCTATAATATAATAATAATAATAATAATAATAACAATGAGTTTTTTTGCGACTTCACTGTATATTACCGTTGTACTGCCACTGTATATCTATACGTGTGTCTATTATACACATAAGATGCGTGTACAAGGCCGACCGTGTACAAGAGGGGCGTGGGCATTGTTATTATTATGTGTCGACGATGGTGTATTAAAAATCCATAAAAACGCGCGAGGAGGTTGTAACGTCAGCTGCTGCTCTGGACGTTCGAGTGGCTTTTTGACTTTTTCGAAAACCGAAAACTAAACACAAAAAAATGATATTACCGAGAACCCTCAAGACACACACAAAAAAAAAAAGACACGTCCGTTACAAATAACGTATGACAATAACAATCTACAGTGGTCGCAGCACCCACCGCAGTTTTATTTGTGAGTTGGATTGTACGGATTTTGGCATACGCCCGGCTATTGAGAGCAGCAGATGGCTGCATTATGTGGTGTTGTCCGCGGTTCAGGGAGGCGGTGGCGTTTACATATTATTATTGTAATACGTTTAATATCAACAGTAAGTACTGTCGTGTTATTGTATGTACACGGGAATAATGCGAGTTTAAAGAGAAAAGTCAAAGACCCGGAATAATTTTTGTAAACGCGACCTGCCTGAACAGGAGGGAAAGAAGAAGGCGATGACAACAAATGAGTTATTACATAATAATTCGTTTAGAACATGGTATGATATAATCATGTGCCAGTGGACACAAAGTACAAACACCATTAAGCGTCATTTATTAAATTTAAATACAAATTACTCGACTATTAAACGCGCAGTCGTTTGGAATAAAAATATCATTTTTACGATGTATAATAGTAAATCATTTATGAAAGTTTATGTAACTTATAAAAACTCGACGCAAGTTCGAAATAGTACTACTAATATAATTATAGTATTTCAAATTGTTCAAACTATTATATTAGTACTATAAAAAATGTGTTGTTTTTAAGTGTCGAAGAAAAACGTTTCAATAAAAATTCAGATTTTAATTTTATAGTTAAATTTGAATTCGACTTCTAAAATTTGAGTTTGTCATAATGGTACTTTTAGCCGATATAAAAATTGTTTTCTAGTTCCAATATATTTACAAATAAAAAACCGTGTTTTATGTAATTTAATTATTTTTGATGAGCAAATAAATGTAAATATTAGAATTAAATAAAATTCAATGCCTATTCAAAAATGATTACATGTCGTAAATAATAATATAAATACAATCATGTTCGTAGCCATAAAAAATCCTATAACTCAAAAATGCTGTCAATCATTTTTGTAAAAAGAAATCTTAATAATATAGTTTGAATTTATAAAAATAAATTAGCGTCGTGTTATTTTTTTATGACATTCCGAATTGGTATGTATATTACACATTTTTAATAGATGAATAAAGAGTAGGTTCTATTCTATGTAATGCAAACACATACCTTAACAAATTGTAAGTCGTACAAGTCTCTAAAGTTCAAACTTTTGTTTTCGCAGATGGCGTCATCTGCCGTCAAATGTCTGACTTTATCGGCAGTTTTCTCCTGTGAAAAAAATAAATCATATAAGTAAATTTTTATAAATACTATAATTTTTTTAACAAAATAATAATTATTTTCAAATAAATTACTACTTGAATCTTTCAACAAGATATAAACCAAGAAAAAATATGTTAATGTTGATAAAATTCAATGTGATTTCATAATCAATAATAAATTATTTTTACACGAGCAGTACTTACTGTTAATTTTTTTTAAACTGTATTTTAAACATTAGTATTTTTAAAAAATAATTTTTAGTCTTTAAGTAGTTGTGTTTAGGCTGAAATAATTTTTTGAAAAATATATTAAACACGTTTTTTATTAATCATATTAGCAAAAATTTAATTAATTTTACAGTAGTCAATACAGTTATGAGGATGAAATATTAAATGATTCTTTAGTAATATAATTCTAGAAGAAGACAAAAACAAGATAAAAATTGTATACATATTTTAATTATGTCGTGCTTCTAGTTTCACCTTTTTCCCTATAAGAATAATTATAATTACAGAAAATACTGAAATGTGTTTAAAGATGAGTGTATTGTGTTTTCAAAAGAAAAAGCTAAACTTGATTATAATCAAGTTTACCTTTTATAATTATCAGTCGGGAACAAAGAATAGTGTTAAGTAGAAATAGCGTAAAATGTAATTTATCTAAAAATTCAGTATTAATATAAATTTCTCCTCGTTTAATTTCGAACATATTTATTCTTGGGAAAATAATTGTAGTAAACATTAAAAAATATATTATCTTTAATAAGACTTATGAAAATAAGTTCTTGATGTATTAAATAATGATTTTATTTTCCATAGAAAAGAGCTAAAATTGTATGTTTATACTAATAACAAAAGATTTTTTTTCGCGAAAAAATAAGAAATTCAAAATAATATACGAAGAACAGTGTACAGAAATACAAAATAATAAAGTAAAATCGTCGGTGAGATGTAAGTAGAGGATATGGGCAATATTTCGTCGGGGACCTGGCTGAAGATAATGGACAACTGGTATCATATATTCCAAACGCAGCATGACTTATTAGCGTACTTTGAATATTTTTAAATATACAATTTTTATTACACTTAATATTTTTTTTTACCTTCGTGTACGTGCATGTATACACACATTATACTACTTCTCATTTCGTTTTCCACGACACCTCCCCGCCGTCGGTATGTTCTTCTCCGGTTTAAAAAGAAAAAAGCCGCAAAGCGACCGGTGCGAGGTGACATCGATAAATAAAATCCATACGTACAGCACCACACCAGTTCGCCCAGTAAATAATATTAATAACGTCGCGGACACATATCCCAAGTAAATTGGACCGGTGCGCATATAAGTCTATACAGGGTGTTTAATACAGACACGCGGTGGTTACTCATGGGTAGGATATGAACGGCTTCTTATTCCTCATACGCACAGCGTGATAAATAGGATGAAAACATACTTTTGTAGAAATAGCTACCGCGTTCTACCGACGAAAGGATTAATAATCGTATACGATCAATATTATTATTCTTTTAAAAAATAATAAGTTGTCTGAATATCCGTTGCCTCCCTACCGTTCTTGGGAAAACTGAATCGCGATGACACGGAGTGATCGTAACTTTTAACATTTATAGCCAACCACCGGCACATGATAGGGGTTACGATAAATAATTGAATGAACCCTTATTGTAAAAGGTATCCCTCTTTCAAAAATAAAACAACTATATTCTGGTTTTGAAATCGAAGTAAAAAGTCGTCGCCAAACGGTCAATAAAATTTAAGAAATAGTTTTGTCAAGTCTACGATATTACGAAATAGCTATGGAAATGCTTAGAGGCGACTAGAATACATTTTTAACGGAGGTGTAATTCTGATTTGATTAGCTATGTATTTAAAATATGTTCAATTATACGATAGTGGTAAAAAGTTGTTAGAGATGAATGACTACTATGTTACCCTACTTGATGGTTTATTGCAGGCGATTGTGACACGCGACTTAGCCTGCATATGTAAGACTACCGTCGGGGGCGTTTATATTATATTATGTGTATAATTTGTTATAGCAGCTCTGTGGCGGCATGTGTAAAACAGGAGTCAGGCACGCACGCCTTGTATACTTATATATTACACACACGCGGTACGCTCACAGAGAAATAATATAATGTATACTATAAAATATTTTTTATAGAGAGGAGGTGCTGCTATTTTAAAATGTCGTACCGGCCAAATACAACGGACGGACGTGTTAAAATTATGTATAAATATACAATAATGGCTGTTTTAAAAACATGATAATAATAAATTTCCTCTCGCCCTTACATCGAGTTTATGAATTTCCACTTCTCAAACGACTTATCTATATACTTTTACTTCAGACTTGGCGGCGGCAACCACATAGTATGTGGTATTGGGGTCCATTCATTATTATTACACGTCTATGTGTATAATATATACATAGATATATACAGAGGAAACGATAATCGATATAATACCAACTACCAGAGAGGATTTAACATCTGCCCTTCAACACACATACATATTCAGTCACTCCATGGTCCATTGAACAGCCATGTCACCCTGTACAGTATATACACTTTTAAGTGTGCGGTTTATTGTTAAAGAGAGGAGACACGGGGACTTATCATCCGGAATAATATACTGTACATATTATATTATGTGCGACAACTATGGGGCTTAACTTGTAAAATCGAGTCAATGAAATTGTAATAAAAACACACACGCGTCGACCGCCACCGGATTTCGGGCGCTGAAACAGCCATTGATAGGGTAAGAGGTCACTTAAAAAACCACAAGAGTGAAGCAACAAATCAGTTTTCTAGCTATTATATAATTTTATTCATAATCTCGTTATTATCCTTTTTTATTCGTTTTATAATCTTGACGTTAAAAGAGGATTTGTGTAAAAATATTAATGCCACCTAGGGAAATAGTATGATGAATCTACCTACCTATATAAGTGTTAATATAAAACATGTAATAAGATTTACATTTAATCTAAACAAAAAATAAAAAACCAATAAAAAGAAAAAAAATGAAAGTTTCTTATTTAAAACAATATGAAACTTTAGAAGGTTTTCTTAAATAAAATAATATGTTCATTAATTACAAAGATAATAAGATGATAGCATACGGCTTCTTTTATTTAGCCATATTACAATTGTGTCGGAAAAATATTTTAAAAATGTAATACTTAAAAAAATTATGCGCACTATTTTTCGTTAAAATTTTTTAAATAACACTAAACAATTTATTATTCAACTATATACATATAATTATATACATAATAATAACAATAATACCAAAAAAACTTATTAGTGTCTATTAATTCTTGTTTAACTACATGGTCGGTAATGATCAAACACAAATGTTACTGTAGTGTGTTTGTGTTTATATTGTATTATCATTTGTATGTACGATCATATAATGCATTATAAAAAAATGATACCCTTTCATCACTAGAGAAGTAAGATGAGGTAGTTGAAGAGTAAAGATGATGCCGCTGCAAATGGGAAATTAATGAACTCTCGGTGGACTAAATAATACATTATACTTTATTTATAAGCTGGAAATTTTTGTTTTGTGCTTTTAGGACAACAAAAGGACACACGCCGACCACACACCTGAAGAAATTATAGCAAGACCGTCTATGAAAATTATATTAAAGTATATGTCAATTGTGTTCTGATACAACAAACAGTTTTGTGAATAGTGTAACGGAATTCTCCAGTCAAGTCAACGGAGAGTAAATCTTACATGACCATAATATCAAATGTTTTCAATAGGAGATTTTTCCGAATTAAATGCAGACTTCATTGAGCTTGTATTTGTCGTAATGAGAACCAGATAACAAGTTCAATCACTGTGCACATAATAGTATATGTATATTATAAAATAACATTATAAACTTGCCTTAGCGTCGAAGCTTTAAAAAAAAAAATTCACACACAAATATACACACATTTTGAAAATTCATTCTATACTTTTAAAGCAAACTAGAGGTTATTTATTATACTCTACGTAGGTTAATCTATTACTGGTAATTTATCATGTATTAACAGTATTGATTGTTTTACTCTTTAATTAAAAGTGAATTATTATGATTTTATTTATAGTTATTACTTAGTTAAAAAAATATACAACTAGTAATAGCACCATGTAATAATTACATAAATAAATAATTATTATTTAGAGTATTTACAGATAATGTAAATATTCACAAAACTAAAAACATAAATTTTCTAAATAATACAACAATCCATGAGAGTTTTGACACAATTTTTTTTTAATTCAATTTTAAAAATTATTTTAGGTAATTTACACAGTAGTAACAGATATTAAATGTTAATATTTTAAAATGTATTAATAATGTGCGCAAGCAATTTTAGTTTAAAATGAATCAATATGAACTTATATAAGCGAAAGTGATGTAAATCAATTTAGATCAGTTTTCATAAGAATAATTTGAAATATTTTAATTCTATAAAGATTAATATAAATGTAGATTTTGAAAATGCAACAATTATGTTACTTTACATAATAATAGCTATCGTTGAACTAAAAGTACATTTATTTTCAAATTAAATTCATTTTTTCCAAAAATTGACTTTTACCACTTTCGCTTTACCTTTGATTTATACATTTTAATACCTTTTGATTTATTTTTATAAGTTTATGTCGATTTAAATATTAGTAATAACTGAGCCATAAATTTGAGAAATAACGTAAGTCACAACTTGTATTTAATTTAGGCGAACTTCAGCGAAGACTGAAATTTAAAGAGCCTCCTTGACTATTTCAAAATAATAACGATAATAATCTATTTTGAATGGAGTTTGAAGGGCTATCTAAACAAGCAATTCTATTTTTATGGCTTACGCTTAAGTTGAACTTAAACTGTGATGACGCTAGGTGTTGCAGGCCTCTTTTTATTTTTAAATAAAAAATACCTATTTTTAGCTTTTAATCTATGCGTTTAAGCATTACGCAAGTGCACAAGTGGCTTTATCCTACCGCTATAACTTATCATGATTAGAAACAAAGGCGTAAAATCATAATGGAGGTAGCAAAAAAAAAAACATTCAACAGGCAAGTTATTATAAAAATACTTGTTAACCTTTTTTTTTCAAGTTCTAATAAAAAAAAAAGAAATTATTTAAAATTTTTATGGCAAAATAGCTTTATCAATGTAAAGGGTGCATCAATATCCCTTAAAATTCGCCACTGATTAGAATATATAAACATAATTATTCATTAAAAGGTATAACAGGGCATTTTTAACTATATTGCTTAAATTATAATAAAATATTGGTGCATTTAAAAATCGTAAACTTTAAAAAGTTCTCCAGTTAAATTATTTTTATATCAAACAATTCTTATAAAATTTGTAGCCAACAATTATTTTACAATGTTTATATACAAGTTTAATTGTTATATTTTATAAATATATATTTAAGTTTTCTTATACACTTCAAATTATTAGTCATTTAAAGAAATATTGATAGTTTTAAAAAATAATAACTGTATGTTTGTGTTATATTAGTGATTGTTTTTTGCATGCATATTTTTGAAAAGTGTATCTAATAGACAGCAAGTTATACGTCTAATTTTAAATTACAAAAATTATTTTAAGTCACGTACTGTAAATATATTGAATGTTTCAATAGTTAATTTTGGATGTACGAACATTTTGCGTTAAGAAATTGTACTCTTATATAAGATAAAAAAAATTTCAAATATTTATGTTGTAGCAATAAAAATTTAATAATGAATTTGACAAGTAAATTTTAAAGATTTCTTTAAAAATATTTCAAAACAATCACTTATTATTAGTTACATTTTTTCAAACTAGTTAGTTCTATTGTTGAGACTTCAAGATGATCTCATTAAGATAAATATAAAGAAATAATTGTTGCGACATTACCAACAAACTGAAATAAGTAAATTTAAACCAACTGACGAATACAATTTATTATTTATGTTTTCATTTAAAACAAAATTGATTAAAAAATATTTTTTCTTAAACATAAATTAATAAACATTTATTATTCACGATGGTACAGTGCATATATTATTAGAATGTTCATTAATTACGCAAGTCATCCAGTAAAATATTTCAATACCTAAACCTGAAGCAAACTATAAAAACACTATCAGAAGAGCAATCTTGTTAGATCACTACCTACACTATGTAATGACATTTATATGAGGTAGGTGAATCCAAGTGAGTACATCGATCGACGGTAATCGTTAAATGGCTATTTAATGTTCAACCGTATCTTTAGTTCGGAATAAATATCTAGTATGAAAATTAATAATTATTTACAAGTATGCCGTTTTATTAAGGTGACTTTACTATAAAATGAATTATATTCCAAGAAGTAAATGGAAACTTTAGTTTTTCATTATACTAAATATTCATCTCAAATGTGTCATAAATATTATTGAATATTGTTAAATGATTTACTTTGATAAACAATCGTATTTACTAAATTACCTATTTAATGTGCTAAAAATTACCAACAAAAACTAAATATTCGAGTTTCACAGCTTTAAACTTTCTCAGTATTTATACAAATGAATAAATTTGAACATCTTTTGTTTCCCTTGGCTGAAATAATTGCATGTTACACTTAGCCATTAGAAAAATACACAAATATAATATCATATTTAACATAAATACTCGTGGGAATAATAATTTTGTATTTTACCTTAACATTTTTAATAAACGATGCTGGCAATCCATACGTTTCAAAACGGTTTTCTTGGATCATTTCGAGGAACAGTCGACTGAAGTCCGATCGATTGATCGGACTTGTTTTTCGATAATCTTCCTGAGGTACTGCGGAGGCGGCTACTTAATCCCGAGGAAACGTCCGTAAGCCGGCCAAACGAGCCCGTTTAAAAATATCGCGACCGAACCATTTTTGCGGGAAAACAACGAGCAGAACACACACGTGCACTTATGTGTACTTGGATACTATAAATGTGATATGATTGTAACATTAATTACTACGGAACCGAACGACGGCTATCTGCGGTGACGACACAACGCGTGTGTAGGTGTTTGTGGAGAAGCCTTTCGGCACACGCGGAGGGATCCAGACTGAGATGATCGGCTGGCCGCGGTCGCATACCTCGAGCACTGTACGTACCTTGTGGTACGCACTATGGATTCTGTGTAGGGCGTAGGAGTTCTCGCAACACGATTGGTTATAGGGGCGTTGCGTCAAAATATCCAGCGGATGTTCCGCCCATCTGCCCGTCGTGTGTTTGTCCACACATATTATATACGTACATGAGTATACACACACACACACACTCATATGTATATTTATTACACAACTCATTGTATGGGTATAAAATATAATAATACACAGTGTGTATGTTGCGATATGCAGTACCCCACACAGAGGGGACAAAACTTCAATTGATCTTATAATATGTGTACTGATAACAATAGTTATTGTTTTAATTTTTCGTTGTATGTTTTCATTAGAAAAATAAATCTAAAACATACTCATTTTAATGTCAATGAGATTCGAATAATAAATTGTGCTACACTTAATTTGATCAATCTTATTAATTTTAAATATTAGACCGATTCTATCTAATACACGCAATTATTAAATTGCGCGTTAGTTAATTGTGTTTATTAAGCTTCTTTTAATTTTTACTTTATTTCAGCAAACTAATTATTACTTTTTTTAATATCACTTTTTACAGCGTTTTTTTTTTTTTTTTTAATATTAGTCACTCCTTAATAATTCACGACATTTTTGTATTATAATTGCATATATTCAGACGCCGTTTGAAACGATTTTTATGATCTTTTTACGACTCCAATAGATTAAAATCATCAAATTTACAAATAAAGTTCAAATTTTTTTTTTTTTTAATTTGCACAATTACGAAAATAATTCAATATCAGTAAAAATATTTCGTAGAATTTCGAGATAATGATAGCACTATCGAAATCGTGATTTCTTAATTATTATTCAATAGAATAAATAGGGGAAGTATATTAGAGTTTTACCTTATTAGAAAAGCAAAACTAGCATTAACGATGATTATTTACAATTAAAATAGTCAGTTTATGGAGATAATTTAAATTATATTTTTTAATTTTGTAAAACTATCGATTACTATTTTCATTAGAGTTGTTAGTTAGACTAATAAAAATGACCTATAATCAGGGGGCTCTGGGTGCACGTGCCCCGAATAACAGGTTACCTGTAGCGAGGGAGTAAACGCTAGCCAACTATCTAGCAATATAAAACGTAAAGTTAGAAACCATTTTTTTTTTTTTGTTAATTCAAATTTGAAAAAATAGCGATGCAGAGAAAAATATTTTTGATGAGCAAATTAAGAAGGTCATTGGAGGCGGTGGAATTGAAGGTGGTATTAAATGCAGCCTTGCCTCTATCTGAGTTTTTAAAATGTGAACTACCGACTAACACTCTTGTTTTTATTTTTCGTACGTGCTTGATATATGTTAGTTAATCTTAAAGAAGGCCTAGAAATGTATCTATTGAATTTAATAGATTTGTTGTGAAAAATACTTGGTGGTGTTTAAGTATCGAAAGCCGCCCCGGGTCATTCTGGCAACCCGGCTGTAGGGGAAGTGATGACTGGTGTTGTAGGTGATGTGTACTGTATACAAAAGGCTTCGTCAGCATTTAGTTCACGCCTTTTCCAGTCGACCGAACAGCTCGGCGGATTTCCCAGAGCGGCATGATTCAATTTGCCGTACGATTTGTTCGGAATACGGGATTGCTGGGGCGCACAAACTCTTCTTTTCCTTCCTCTGAGGTTGTGTATTCTTTATCTCCTTACCCGCTAGTTCATCCCTTTTTCTCCTCAAACGTAGCGTGTTCGTATCTATATACGCGTACATATATATGCGCACCATATTATTTATACGGCGAAAACAACACTAACAAAAAGAAAAGGATTTTAAGAGAGTCGGAGGGAAAGCGGTGACTTAAAAATTCACAAACAACTTTCAATAAACAAAAAGCATTAGACTGTATGACTGTAATAAAAAAATTACATTTTATTTTTATTTCAAAACGAATTCGTAAACAAGAATTTATTTAACGTTTCACGAGTAAAGTGTACTATTAACGAATTGGTGTACAACAAATTTACGTGAGTCTGTACACTGTTTTTTAGTAGAAAATACAGTCAAATAAAAATTAGAGGGGAAATAGGTTAATGTATTGACGTAAAATTGAGATCCGAGTCATTATTAAAAATTATCATACGAATATGTAGATATTATTAGAATACTCTTATAGTTTTCTAATCATCAGATTAATAATCTTTTGTGTAAAAGAAGTACGTCTAATAAATTGTAAGACTCTTTCTTTTAATTTTCATTAATCGCTTACTGTATCAAATCAAACCGTTACAACTATAAAATAATGAATTATTCGAAAATCTATTGTCAATTAACGAGTGATTTCTTAACCACCAATAATTTATAATAATATTTTTTCAGGTGATCTAAAATTGAAAAGTCCCATTACCTACCTCCGAATGAAAATATTTCAATTATTTAATCTCTTGAAATATTAAAGGTGGAGGTGGTAAATGAAACTTTTCATTTCAAATCGCCGTAAAACAAAAATTATTTAACCACTTATAGAAATACAATTGATTCCCCTTAACGCATTGGATATTTTTAAATAAAATATATAAATAAACTAACATGACAAAATTTGACTTGATTTCCTTCGCACAAAAGTAGTTCAAACAAATTAGAATTTTATAGATTTATTTACATTTTGTTTTTTCAATGTTTATTATTATTTTCTGATTCTTTATTTTATTCGTTCACTAATTACTATGTTGTGTTTAATCGTTTATACGGATTACAATCGATGACAGTTTACACGAGTCTTATATTAATACTATAGAATGAAAAATGTTGTTGTCAATAAGCTCCGCGTGACCTATGAGCAGAATTAGAGTGAAGTGCATTCATTTCGAGGGTTCTTTTTATAACGATGCCTGTGGGTCATTCGATGACGCCAACGCTCGGATTAACCAAGTCACGACTTTGTGCAATATTATTATCATTGTCATATTATGTATGTGCCTTTTTTGTGTGTAAAGAAAAATGTAACTCGTGCACGCGTACATATGTACACAAGACACGTGTCCTGTGCGAAGATTTCATTGGGTTTTGGTCAGGTGGAAAAAGTTTTCTTCGTGCGTTTTCCCTCTGCCCACCTTGCACACCGCCCGACAACCGCTACGATATGGATGGGAAACGTTCATCGAACTGAAATGATCGCGTTACGATGATGCTGCGACGTGTGCACGGGGCCCAGCACAGCGAGACACCGCTGGAATCCTGCTGGGGCTACGGACAGTGCAGTAGTTGAGTAGATCTGTCGGTGGACATTTATCGTTCCCACATCTGTAAACGCGGTGCCCAAAGGCAATACGAATGAGAATAAAAAATGCGTGGGATAATATTTGACAGTGTATAAAATTGCAATTTAATCTGAAATTTTCAAATAAGTAAACAGCATCTAATGTAGATTTAAAGTATACTAATATGACTAATCCGCTATAGTTTAAGTGATATTTTTAATTTAATACAATTTTTTATATTTTCAAATTCTTTGGAGAAAAACTATGGCCTGATAATAAATTAACAATTCATTTTCGTAGATATAATATATATATATATATCTATTTAAAATTAAAACTTTATTAAAAATATTATTAATATAAAACTAAAAAATATTAAACCCAAAAATCCACAAAAAATTACTGAATTTACTAATTTTTAATATAGTTTTAATTTTAAGTAATATTAACCACAAGTGATCAATTTTTATTATAAATATTATTTATTATATATATATATATATATTTAGATTATGATTACTAAAAACAAGTACTATTTTTCAAATTCATTTTTGTAAAGGGTTATTTGTATTCTACACAACGCTTTCCTAGAGTGTGTATATTAATGTAGCTTAACGAATACATGTATTCATTGAACTCATCTAATTATTCATTTACTTTTCAATTAATTAAAAACCAATCATAAGTAATATATTACATAGACCAGAACAAATTATGTGAAAGTATTCAAAACGTTTTTTAGTGTGTTTCTATCTAACTAATTAATACAAAACTTTCATTTAGTACAAAATTGCTTAAGTTTAAATTACTGTGTATCAAGCAATTAGGTTTTGTTTTTCATCGCGTTCAGCCGTGGAAAAGTAGACAAATATCTGGATTTTTAAAACATTAGATAAATTATTTCACAAGCAATTCCGCATCAAATATTTTTATGTGGACAGTTTATTTTTAGATAACATTGAACCTAATAATAGTAATAACAACACAAATAATAAAATAAGTAAAATGAATTTGTTCTCCAAGCAATGATGTCAAAATTTATTTAATTACTATTATAATGACCATTAGATATCTTAAATCACGTAATTGTTGGTTTAGAGAATAAGTGAGATTTCACGACTAAATAATAAAAAAATTTTATCAGAGGTCCTAAGAGCTACTATACTAGCGACTACTAATTATTTTCATATTAATTTTATTTTATTTAAGACGCAGCTGATGATAAGAATAATAACCAAAGTTTTATTTATACTTGACATTTTAAGGTTTACTCGTAAAATTTAATTAATTATTATTATTAGCACAAAGAACAGATTTTTTATCGAATTGTAAACTTACAAATAAATATTTTGTATTTAAGTGAATTTGTAAGTATTTTGTCAAATATATCTTTTTTGGTTTTTTAACTGTATAAAATGTGGCTTGTTTTATAAAACAAGGCGTCATTTTAATTCCAAAAATGATTTGCATAACTTTGATAAAATGTTTTATTCAATTTCTTCGGCGTATTCTTGGAATTTCTTTGTATATATATTTTTTACTTAAAATCAACACGTCGGCGGTCTTTGTATTCTTGCTCTCTCGTTGGTTTTTTTATCCAGGGGTGGGCGGAGAAAAGTTAAAGTGGCCAAAGGAAGCTTTTTCGCTTTCTAGCAAATTTGATCATTAAGAACGAAGAAAGAGAAAATTGAAAATACCAAATTAAAATATGATCAGACTTGCCATGGAGGGTGTTGCCATCGAATTTGTTATG